AGGTACAGGATATCAAGGACAGTGGAAGGTACAGCATATCAAGGACAGTTGGACGTAAAGGATATCAAGGACAGTGGGACTTACAGAATATCAAGGACAGTGGAAGGTACCGGATATCAAGGACAGTTGGATGTAAAGGATATCAAGGACAGTGGGACTTACAGAATATCAAGGACAGTGGAAGGTACAGGATATCAAGGACAGTGGAAGGTACAGGATATCAAGGACAGTTGGACTTACAGAATATCAAAGACAGTGAGACTTTCAGGATATCAAGGACAGTGGAAGGTACAGGATATCAAGGACAGTGGGAGGTACAGGATATCAAGGACAGTGGGACTTACAGGATATCAAGGACAGTGGGACTTACAGAATTTCAAAGACAATTTAGACTTTCAGGATATCAAGGACAGTGGAAGGTACAGGATATCAAGGACAGTGGGACTTACAGGATATCAAGGACAGTGGGACTTACAGAATATCAAGGACAGTGGAAGGTACAGGATAACAAGGACAGTGGGACTTACAGGATACCAAGGACAGTGAGACATTCAGGATACAAAGGACAGTGAGACATTCAGGATATCAAGGACAGTGGGACTTACAGGATATCAAGGACAGTGGAAGGTACAGGATATCAAGGACAGTGGGAGGTACAGGATATCAAGGACAGTGGGACTTACAGAATATCAAGGACAGTGGAAGGTACAGGATATCAAGGTCAGTGGGACTTACAGAATATCAAGGACAGTGAGACTTTCAGGATATCAAGGACAGTGGAAGGTACAGGATATCAAGGACAGTGAGACTTTCAGGATATCAAGGACAGTGGGACTTTCAGGATATCAAGGACAGTGGGACTTACAGGATATCAAGGACAGTGGGACTTACAGGATATCAAGGACAGTGGGACTTTCAGGATATCAAGGACAGTGGGACGTACAAAAGGCTGATACAAGGTGAAAGTTGAACCCACTTTCAACCAACAACTTGTGTTCCCTTATAACAATAGCCCCCTCTCCAAATGCTCAGTTGAAGGTGATCATAAATATGTCATAAATATCTAATTGCTTAAGGAAAATTAATGTACAAATTATTAATTGATACTGAAGGAAGGAATCCTACTTGTTTTGAGAAATGGGGCTTCATTTCCTGCCCAAGGATGTGGAAAATCAATGCCCCACTTGTGTGAGAGGGCAGGACCAAAAAACGTAACAAGCTTCAGTTGTCCACCTTAAAACTAAGCAGACCGTCGCCAAGTTCGATAAAATATTCATAACACATAGCACATATACTGATATAGCTTAGAAAAATTGTAAACATCACGTGTATGACCAATCCAACTGACAGTAGGGTATTGTTTACTTCCTTGTTCTTCCCGTGGGCAAGTTTTGTAACAAGTCATGGTAGGCCATACTGGCTTTCAATGGATGATGGGGCAGCCAAGGAAATATGAAATTCATTTTCATGTTAGTGATGAAACACCATGTTTGGATTCTTACAAAAGTTTGCACATCGGCTTCGCAATTCATACCTCAATGAACCGAAAAAAATACACAGTCAATGCTTATAATTAAATTGGACAACGTAAAACATGTTTTATCTACAATAGTTAAACCAAAAACAGTTGTATATAACAAAGAGACAAAAGCGAGATTGATAAACATTCAAGGTGTAGGAATACATACTGTGGCGTGACATGAATCAGGTGATCATTGGATTTATGCACATAACTTGACACACCTTCACAGTAAGTAGCCAATCAACGGAGAGCAGGATCAAAACAATGTTCATTGGACCTGTCAATTAAGGCAAGAGGAAAAAAAAGAACTGCAACAGTCAGATTGTAACGAACCGAAAGAGATATCCGGGAGAAGGCGGCTGTTCCAAATGCCATGGTCAGTTACCGCCAGATTCAAACATCAGTGGTTACGGTACAACACAGTAGGAAAAATGCTAGTCAGAAATGAAACCCGAACACATGAAAGTTGAACCGAGGCGAGCGGGAAAAAACAGGCGAGCGAGCCTGCACATTGGCTGTTTCATTCATTCTCGGCCTTCGGTTTCAAAGGGTAGTTTGGACAATGAATATGCATGAAAGTCGCTGAATGTCCTGTGCATGACGATACACGTGAGCAGAAAGGGGATTCCCTCGATGGTAAAATTGGGATTCCACGACATTCCGCAGTAATAAAAGAAGTGCGCCTCGTGGGCATGGCTTATTTTTTTTACACTCATTGGGAAATGAATGCAATAACACGTGACCAATACCATCTAATCAGAATGCAGGAATTTCAATGAAGACAACAAAAATTTAATTATTTAATAATCACTCATATGTAGCCTGACTGAATATCCCAAGAAACATGATTGAAGTACATTTTACTGATACAACATCATGTACATGGAAATAACTTGCTTGCATTACAGGACATTTACATGTATCAGAACAGTGGTATTCTATTGGCTGATTTTACTTGGAGCGCTTATGTGTGCCATAAACATATATGGTCTATTTGCTGAACATGTGTTCTGTATTGTTCTATAAAGATCCTAATAGTATAAAGTAGCACACTAATGATATATGCGAGTACATATTTTCCATTATTAGAACACTGGTGTTCTGTTTTCTAAGCTGCCCATGCCTTGTGAACTACATTTTTTCTTTGAGGAAATGGTGTGACATCCCCGTCATTTGATGTAACAATAAATATTATCTTTTTGTTTTGTTTGTTTTTTTGTTGTGTAACGCCACACTCAGCAATATTCCAGCTATATGACGGCAGTCTGTAACCAGACAATCCAGTGATTGACATCATGAACAAAATATTATCTAACGTTGTGTGTGGTTATAAGATTCCATCTGGGGATAAGGTTTTTTCATATTCAATCCTTACCTTACATTGTACAATATTTCAGAGATTGATGATCACATAAGGAGTGACTGCCTCACGAAATGCATTGCAGACAACGTATACACCATGTTAACTGTCATTTCTGCAAGACATGCATTTTCTGCAAATTATTAGATGAAATGCCAATCCTTGCAATCATCACAAATCTCTTTCAGCACTTGTGACTATTTGAAAGTTTCCGAATTTATTTTCAAGTTAAGCATGTTAAGTGAATATATCATTCAGGTTCCATATGAATCCAGACCGATGTTTGGCTATGAACATGCGAAGCACATATTTTGACATTTGTTGCAAATATTTGTTACAATTTGGAAGTTTAATATTTTCTCCCATTTCATCACCTACATCATGTACACTAAATACTGTGCTAAAAGCGTTATCATGGTTATAAAACAACTAACAATGACTAACACAACTAAAAGGCTATATTCAGTGCAGGTCTACGTTCATTGAACATGTGGGCTTGTTCTAGTGGCCATGTGGCATGATAGAGCTCAAGCCTTGCCTGGTCTAGTACAGCACAATTTTAACTTGCTTATCTGATTAACACTAACAAAGGCCTGGTACTGCAGGAGAACATTACTCCTGCCTCAAGGCTGCCAAAGTTTAGTGTTTCAACTTCTCACAGTACCCATTGTACAGCCATGCTGCTCACGACAGGTACATGTACATGACATAGCAGAGACAAGTCCTAAACAACAGTTGTATAGTTACATGTTTGACACAACATTTAACACCTTGTGACACATCCTGGTCCTGGCTCCCTCTGTACAGACCAGATTTGGGCACATAATACAAGAACAAAGGATGAATGTCTCAAAACCCTTACAGCAGTGTGCCGTGACCCTCAATAGTTACAGTTAAGTGTAAACCACAACATAGAGACACAGCATTGGTTCTATAAATGCTGTCGTCTGGTACTCCACAGAACAGTTGGTCACAAGTCATGCAAAAAAAGAAACACGCTATGTATCTGTTTAGCAACAGAGGCACAAATAGATTGGGAGTTTAGCAATCTAAAGGTCACATATTAATGTGCAAATAGTAATGAACATAGCAATTGTGTTATCGTGGTAATAGTTCTTCCTTAATTTGACCTATTGCCAATTTCTATGACACCAAGTTTCCTTCAATTGCTGATTAAAGAAAAAATGTAACCATGTGTGAATGAAAATGGAACTTACACACTTCCTTTGCAATGTTACACAAGCTATTTGATTATCATATTCATGTGTTCAGAAACAGCCATGAAGTACACTGTTCATTAATTGATCATGTACGTAATACTCCACAATTTATTCGATGATTTGTACTCAGAATGAACTTAACTCCTATGTCCTAATTTATCAAAGTGCAGAGTCACCTCGGGCAGATACTTGTCCATTAACAGATAACAAGAATTTACAAATGAGATAAACAACTTTACTATCATATTGGTTTACAGCAGATAGAGCCTACACTACCACTATCAGTATCACATTTGCACTAAATGCCACACAACCATTACAAGCAAATTTGTGAACTCTAAAAAATAATATCCAAACTGGTAAATTTCTTGAGCTAAAAGTATTAGTTTCCAACTTGATAGCATATGATCCTGAAACATTTCAAAGATATGGATTTGTAAAAGTTCCTATGCTCTAAAGATGATATTTTCAATATTTGGAACTTTGTTATATCATGCATGGGAAATATTTGCCAACACTATTTTTCGTAAAGCGATAGGGTTTCATTCCTCGCTCTGAACGTCGGGAGAGAATGCCTCGTCAGTGTGCAGGGTGTCAGTGTTCTTGGGGTGCCCTGTAGTTATCGGCCCATAAACAAACATAGTGCTACATATATTCGTGGACAGGGTTTATCACACAGTCAAGAGGACATAATGCATTGGGGGTTTTCAGGACAACTTGACATAATCTAATAACGAACTGTTCCTTGGTCGCACTGTTGTACAAATGAATACACTCAATACAATATCACCTTAGCAATGGGTCGTCCCAAATTTGGAACGAAATATTTGGCAACAAACGTAAAACATTCAAATTATTATATCACCACTTAAATATGAACAATCCAAATGTTACATACCACACAATTGTATAAATCCCGTATCTGCTCATACACCCAGTCTTCTACTGCCAGCCTTTTTCTAATCAGCATCATTTGGTCCTGTCCATATTTTTGCGTGAAATATTTCTTCTTTGTTTCCTTATCTTGCTCCCTTCTGAATAACACAGACTTCTTATTCGAGTCGTGTTGTCTATAATCCATTGTACAACTTGGTTCGGGCGCTTGCGGTACCGGTGTAGCCATGACTTGATAGAAGCCTACTGTCTTTCTACTGAAGGGAAATCGACTCATAGTGTAGCTTACGCGACTTGACTCGATTAATACGCCTTTTAAAATGCAACTGTCTCGCCGCTCTTTCAGCTGTAAAATAAAGAAAAATTGTATTTAAATGTAATTATGATATTACTTTGAAATGTTATTGATACAAACGAACAAAACATGTTTTTATAGTTAGAACTATATTAATTATTTGTCATACTAGTTTCTTCGAAGCAGATTACATTTATGAATGCATAAATTAAGAACTTGAGATGATAAAGTACGTTGACATGCCAAATGTATTAAAAGACTACTAAATACAAATATATAAAATGAAATATGATTTTAGATTAATGACATACGTATAAAGAATTTTTATTTCGAAGTCCCTAGTATGACAATTTAAATACTGAAATTGTAACTGTCATAAAAATATTAAACGTGTTGATAATTAAAATTAGACCCTTTCGCCATCCCCACCCTACACACAAACGCCTCCTTCAAAATTCTGGATTCACCTCTATACGCAGTCTTGCAATCTATGTAATACACTGGTATTTACAAACAATGCAAACATCTAAGTTTATTCAAATCAACATAAAAGAAACTTGGTATCTTACCATCTCTGAGTGAATTAGAAACGACTTATGTTTATGAAAAGATACTTCATAAGTTCAGAGTGAATATGGTTTTACGCCGCTTTTAGCAATATTCCAGCAATATCACGGCAAGGGACACCAGAAATGGGATTCACACATTGTTCCCATGTGGAGTATCGACGTCGGGCCTTCGGCGTGACGAGCGAACGCTTTAACCACTAGGCTACCCGACCGCCCAGTAAGTTAAGAATATTTATTATGCAGTTTACAATTCATTTACATCTAAATAAAGAAATGTGTGTATGTGTGTTTAAAGTAACGTATTAACCTAATCTTGAGCATTTTCTTTAGATCATACAAACTGTAAGTTTGGAATGACGGCGATGAGCGAAAAGAAATTATTTATTTTTCAGTCGTGAGACGAGCGACTGAAGCCTGGTACCATTACAATAAGAAATGTAATATTTCGTTCGGGGAATAGTATATTGTAACTATTCCCGGTTCCAATGCGCATGCGTCAAGTAAGAAGCCATGTTTTGATGTTTATTTGTGTGCGAAATTTTGTGATAAATATTCCCCCAGACTGCGAAAATGAGGATAATTACAGCCTTATTTTTAGTTTTGGTGCCTTCAATGGCAACTAAAGAATATGCAGATGATATTTCACAACTTCTGAAAGACCCACAGCTTATATATGACCTTGTTAAGCGGCTCGGAAGTGATGTCGATATATCTTCATCTCCTCAGAAAAAATCATATTCGGATAAACATTCCGATTCGACGACACATGAAGGTACTGATATTAATCACGATCTCGTTAATAATGAAGACAAGCCGTCATGCAAGACTCGTACATCTGAAAAGACGATAATAAGGACCGAAGATTCTAGACTAGCCGGTGCAATATTTCTCGGTTCATCGGAAAATATTGCGACAAATGAAGAATGTGTATCGAAATGTTGTTCTTCGAAAGGTTGTGAACTTGCTGTTTATGAGAACAAAGTAAGTATTTGAATTAATAGATTAACATGAAGTAATCTTCAAAGAGTCTAGGGGAAATATCTTTAAATAGCCTTACGGAATCAGCTCTGCCTAATGATCTATTATCTATTCACTAAACAATATAATTCTCACAAGTCAGCAATATGATAGGCCTATATTACCAATGCAAAATGCCCACTACATGGATATTATACAATGGATCAGTGATTGGTGTTATAGCCTGTACCTAGGAGATAGAAATTCAGTAATATACATTGGATACAGTACCATTTCTCTGAAACCATCTTTCAATACAGTTTATGAACCAGAGGAATAGTTTGTTAACAACTCTTTGCCTTTAAATTTAACAGCTGGATAAGTGTGACTATGTTATTTTTATTATTATTTTTATTTGAGAAGTAGCATCTGAAAGTAATGTTAGACAGATTGTATTCAGCAGATACATATGGTTGCTTTTCCTCACTTGACCTATAATACTTCCAACTAAATGAATAAAATATCTCTGTTAAGTCAACAGACTGGATGAAACAGGTTATGTCTACTTACCAGAAAGTCCTAGAAGAAACACCTACTGTATCTCATGTACTCCACTTGCACCTGTTCAGTGTTGAGTGGTCTCGAATCATTTTATCATGTTATCAGCGTATTGTCTTTCCAAGTCTAGCTAGTCATGCCTCAGTGATTATGTATTGTCAGAAAGGTTTGTTTGGGCAGTGTATATTGTCCTCCCCTCTCATTAGCAATGTGTCAGTCACAGTGCTCTGTGTGGGGGGCACAATAAAGTGAGCAGTATATACAGCAAAGGTGAAAGATATGCTTCAGGCTATCAGGTTGCTCAAATACACCTATACAAATTTTCATGATCACGCACACTCTGTGGATCCCAGTAGAAAGACTTAACCTGATTTGTACTGTTGTTGGGTTGTGCAAAGTCACGTGGCAAAAGTTGGACCACATCATAATACATATTTCATTTTACAAAAATTATAGTGCTACAAAGCCGAGTAGTTTCCACTTGCACTTTCAAAAGCACAACAATCATCCAGTACAAAATCAGTTTACCTTTTTGTTTATTTCACATGAACCACAAGCAGCATCTTTTCATATTATCGCCATCAATGTGTCCGTTTTTAGTCAAGGGCAATGAATTTGTATTGAGTGGGAGTGGTTTCTCTTTTGACTACAGCGTAAGAAATGGATTCAATTGGAGTGACCACCTTGTTGATAATATATTGGTGGAGAGCATGCTTGATGAAAAATATTTAATTCATGAATGCATTTTCCATTACAAATAATGAAAGAGATGATTCAAGTTTATTGTTACAGTGATGTGTAAAAAATACTTAACCTCATTTGCAGGCAAAACAACATAGAGTTTTTGTAGACTGTAAACCGACCTTATATGTCTGTTCAGATGGGAGTAAAATGTTTATAATTAATGTCTACTACACTAGCTAGAGCATACATAAGCAGATCTTATTTTAATTAGAATTGAGGTTGCAATATTATTTTTAAACTAGCTATCAGTATACATAGTGGCAGTTTACAGGGGATAGCTTACAAGATAACACAATGAAATCATGAACATAAAACAAAGAAACACACATACATGAAATTTACAAAGTGCTATGTTTATTTGTTTGGTGTGAATTTCTGGATGAAATTTCAGTGGTTTTCAACTCGCAAACTTTCTAAGATTTATTTCGCCAATTAATTTTGAGATGATCAGATGATATAACCTTATTCTATGGTAAATAAAATCAGGATTGCTATTTATATTTAAATAACTGGCACAGGGTCCAACTGTTTTTACTTGTCTTTGTGATTTAACTAGTCTCAGGATAGCATAGTTATTGCAGGCTGGAATATTAAAATAACATACAGTAACAATATCAGTAAATGATCACACTGTGCAAAAGTTGTTCAAATTGAAAATCCTTTCAAAGGTTAAGCAGTTCATACCTATCATCCTAACTTTGTTTAAAAATTATTTCAGATATTGCAATCTGTTTGTCACATCCCAAAAACTTATTTTACGTCAATCTCAATAGAGCTCACTATATGAGCAAAGATTTGTGTTGTGTTCGTTTGTTTGTTTGTTGTTTAACGCCACACTCAGCAATATTCCAGCTATATGACCATGATGACGGCGGTCTCTAAATAATCGAGTCTGGACCAGACAATCCAGTGGTTAATATCATGAGCATTGATCCAGGCAATTGGGATCGATGACATGCATCAACCAAGTCAGTGAGCCTGACCACCCGATCCTGTTAGTCGCCTCTTACGGCAAGCATAGTCACCTTTTACAGCAAGCATAGTCACCTTTTACAGCAAGCATGGGTTGCTGAAGACGTATTCTACCCCGAATCTTCCTGGGTCGATTTGTGTTGTAAGATAATGTTGCGATAGGTTTTAGACAGCTTCAGCATGTTCAAGAACAGCTCTTCTGGCATAGTTAGTCTCTAAGATTTTTCAAACTTGGGCTTTGGACCAGTAGCAAATGTCAGACTGTAGTAACAAAAAAATCCTTAAAGCGAAAACATTACAACTAGGCCATAACACTGGAAATAGCATCTCAACAATTCTGTAATGTAGCAACATAGTCTCTCACACAGACGATGAAAGAAAAATATCCCAAGCAAGTTTAAAATGCTTCGGCAAGTCTAGATTTCTTCAGTTCTTGAAAATAAACAAATTCTCTGGGCTCTCTTCATTATGCACTGTATATCATACTATTGAAAGACAAGTTAACTTCAAATATCCTTTAAAAATATTTCCATTTCAGCGAATTAATGTTAGTCTGTCTTCTTGTTTGTTTTGTTATTGGTATGAGATACAGAGATTATTACACAAGTGTCCGTCAGATACCATATTTTTACACTTATCCTATCTCACTCTATGCATTTTATCCTTCCTCTTCTGATCACTTGTGTTGAAATGTCCTTGAACAAAGTTTCCAGCTTCTAAGTTTCATTTGCCCAAACAACCCAGCATCACCTTGGCCACCGTCCCAGCAATAGTAAAAGTAGTGCGCCTTGGTGGGCGTGGCTTAATTTTTTTTATTACTTGCCCGTGAAGAGATCACCCGTTTAATAAACATTCAGCTGTATTACACATTGTGTAATACCAAAACGCTTGCTTATGTACTCTCGGAACACGTTTCACGAACAAATATTGAAAGCTCTCAACATCCTTTGGCTTATTCAACGACATTGCTTGTGGAGATGATAGATCACTGAGAGGAGCTTATGCACACTGGATGACCCCAGCAACCTTGTTGCTAGGTTGACGTCACATGGCATTGTTTCGCCGAAGGATCTTGCAACAAAATTCCACAAATTACGTCATCGGGTATTGTGAAGTGATTGTAAACTTTGAGGTGCAAGGCCCCGTTCCACAAGGCGATCATATGGTAGCGCGACGACAGTCGTTGGTCAAAGTTAAAGTATATGAGTTGCGATAACCTTAACGCTACGATAATTTTGTGGAACGGACGCCTGAATTCTAAAGGTGGACCGTTGGATGGTATTAAATTCATACGTTTCAACTTTTGACGTATTTGAAGTATTACTGAAGTATTACTGTGTTAAACTCAGTTGGATTATGCCGTGGATCGTGTCAGTGTCAGCCTATTCACACTCAACAGTATAATTCTAAAAACGTTATAAATGGCCAGTAATAAATAAAATACTAAACTCGCTCCCGTGTAAAACCAATTTTATGAAACTCGTGAATAGTTATGGTATCTGACTCGCTTTCGCTCGTCAGATACCAGAACTATTCACTCGTTTCATAAAATTGGTATTACACGGGAGCTTGTTTAGTATTCTATATACATTCATTGGTAAATGAATGCAACAACACATTACCAGTCAGAATGCAGGAATTTCAATGAACACAACGAAAATTTAATTATTCTTCCCATGAATATTCTCAAACGCGAAAATGGATCTCCCAAAATAGGCGAAGATGCTATGCAGTGTAAAATCTACAATAAAGTACAGTTTTTCGAGCACAGCGTTCATTCCCACATTTAATTTATTTCGCCTGATTTCATCTGGATGATTTGTATTGATGACAAAGACCAGTTGTCATTTGATTAAGAAATTCTGGAGTTCAGGAATGTATGTATCATGTGTATCACAGCTGAGAAATGTCTGTGATCTAATAGGCATCTCATAATCATCATGTGTGAAATTTGATTTTGTTAACAATGTCCAATACAGCGACCGCAAAGTTAGGGTTGATGAGGAGACACATCTAAAACCATACCGTTCAACACATGTACAGACGTAGGTGAATTCGACTGAAATTACGATCAGGAAAGTAGTCTTTTATAATCTGACCGTAGCTCATCACCATGGATAAGCCAATCACAGGCCTAGAATTTAATCTCACGCATATGTTTGATACCATTTATCTCAAAAGGATTTCTCACCTACAAGTGCAAAAGAAAAAGTACTATTAACCAGCAAGAACCTTAATTTCAGACAAAACACAACTGCTACCTGTTTACATGTCGAGATGCAGTGACAGGGGAGAACAAGTGCAAGTTTGACATTCATGCTGACTATGTCTCCACAAGAATATCCAGCTCAGATGAGGACACCCTTAAGTCATTAGACACGCTGGACAGTGGTCATCATGTGGAACCAGACCCTGACAGCCTGGCTGGTAGGCAGAAGGAAAAAGTGACAGAACCGACCATACCCCTTCATACCGAGGTGAAATCAACTCCGAGGCCCACACAACTGCCACATTCAGGTAGAGCTTACTGTCTTTTTTATTTGTGAATTACAGATTGGATGAAGATCCACTGTTACATGATGCTGATGTTGGGAATCATATATGACTTGGCAGACTTTTTGTTCTGAAATCTATCTCTGTGATATCTGGTTGTGAGAAGTTTCATGCTTTGTTAAGGATGGTGCTTTTGAGACAAATCCTTATTTTCTTACTATGAAAGACATGAGACCATTTATCTTCACAGGATAATATTCGGGCATCAGTGGTGTGGCAATAAAATGTCTGTCAGTAACTTCATGTGTGAAGTACTGGACCAGTACCTATCTTACCCTCTTCCGTACTATAGGTCATGAGAGGATCAATGATATATTCAATTATTATTTAACAGCAACAGAAACTAACTGTTTTAGTTCACTAGTCCTTATAATGATAACATATAAAAAAACCTGTAATTATGGCAAATTTCTACTAGTCCTTATGATACCATACTATAGGGCAATTTGGCAAGGACTGTGGGACTAGTGCTAATTTCTAACACAGATAAAGCCGATCTTTGAATCTGTATGTACATTGATGTAAACAAAGTCTACCAAATAGTTTAACCTTTCAGAATGTTTTGAATATATACCAGTGAAATATTCTTAATATCAATATGATGTATAACATGGTCAAATGTAGATGGGTGGTGGTATTTGAAGATGTCACTCCCTATGGGATATGACTTGAAAAATCATGTGTCGATTATTGCTGTGGTTGTAGGAGTGTCATGGAGACCTACCTGATATGTTCCCGTACTGGCATTGTACGAAGATGACACATTGTAGTGAAACTGACACGACACTAAACTGAAGGCTGTTATCAGATGATACATCCACCTGACACACCTACGGTGACATACATGCTATTTAAATGGCTGTACATTAAGGTTTTTGAAACTGACATACATAGCCAGTCATCGGTGGAGACAGTATCACGTAGCACTGATACACTTTGCTTTAAGATAATTAACCAGCTGTGGAAAAAACGCTGCTCCAATGAACACATACAAAATACCTCCTCTAACATATTATTTTGTGATGTATAATGTTTGTTGTGTATGCCATAGTTATGTGTATGACATTTAATCGTCCAACATTACCACATGACATACCATGAATACCTTGACAGGAAATCATCCACAGTAAAACTATCGCTTTACAAATGGACAGATGATTATCACTTTGTCTGGCCATGTTTGATACAAATTATTCTCTTTGTTATGGGTCTTTGTTTAGATTGAGTTATGAGTCTTTTCGAATAGGTTTTGTGTTTTAACAGGTTTTAATTCATTAGAAATGAGTGTTATTATAATTTAATCGCCACATGTAGACTTACAGCTGTACATAACATATGACACTTGTATTCCTATACCAAACACAAAGCTAATAATGTGAAAATAATGTCAGACTTTATCTGTTTAGACATGATCAGTCTTTGTGACCTTCCAGGAGAAGAAATTTCTTGATCACAAAGTAAATATGTTCCCGACTTTATCTGTCCTTCCCGCATCGAAAGATCACACCTTTCCTACCTGTATGCCAAACAAAACCAAGACATGACCTCACGAGTAGTGAGGGTTGATACAGCAAGTTGGAAGTGAGACGAGGGCAAGCTCACCTGTCATACAGTCAAAACCAGATAAACACTATCATCCACCATCTGATCACCTTGTCTTACTACATGGCCCACATCCAACCAGTAGATCTAATAATTGTTGATTGTGCTTTGTTGTGTAACCACAGCCCTTTCTGGTGTTTAGTTGACTTACCTTCACACAAGAGGGGACAGCGAGTAGAGCCTCTAGCAACACCTTAGGCCTGTACAACCCATATCGTACAACACGCTCCAGATATATGATCACCTCTGACAAGATGTAATAGTAGCCCTCCCAACTATACCCACTGAGCTGTTTGAAGTTTTGCCAGCAGATGCTTTGTTATCTAGGTTGACCTGGGGCCAGACTGGCTCTCTCCACCAGTTGAAATATATCTGATATCCAAACACTATAACACAGCCAATGTGATTGTCAAGTATTAGACCTCTACTGTACCTTTATGGATGTCGGAGAATGAATATCTGATTGAAAGACACAGTGAATTGTGTACAGGTTTAGGACAAAGAGTTGGAACACGGGTCCTCCTTAACACAATTCCAGGATGTATGTAGCAGTGTCATGCATGAGAGATGATGATATGAACTGAATTACCAAACAGGAAGTTTTTGTGAGGGGCACATTTATTTGAGTGGTATTGTGGCTTTGTTCAGGACTAGGGATTAATTGTCTGGGAAAGTGCCTTTGAGTATTAAGTAGTTACTTCAACAAGTTCAACAAATTCAAATACAACAGTGTATTTATTGTAACTCACTATGATATCTGGACTGGGGAACCAGTAGATGGTTACTCACCCTTGATGCTAACTGATCCTGTGTTCAGGATGCAGATGAGAAAGTAGTTGAGTTGCTGATGTAGATGTTAGTTGTGGTCATAGACTCCCAGAAGAGGAAGGTTATTCATGTCTTTTTGTTTCAATCATGGAAGGTTTATTAAAAACTATCAGATACTGAAATTGAAAGCGGGAAGGACTTCTGACATTACAAAAAAAAGAGCAAAATCACGGAAATATTGAATATGAAAGTTGTTGAATATAGTTCTATACTCTTGGTAATGACTATGTTTATTTCAGTTATTTTATGTGGTCAGAATGCTGATAAAATGTATATAAAATATTATATGTGTGCCAAGCTGATGATTCAAATGCTGAATATGAACAATAATTTCATTAATTTCCACGAGACACTCCAGTTTAGGGTTATAGAGAGTAAGATGTAAGTGGGTATTGTTCGTGTCACCTGAGGGCAATAATGAAAATGATAATTGGATGTTGGCAGGTGAATGTATTTATGTTGTAGTGCTGATTAGACAAAGTGATTCCTGGAAGAAGGAGACTGTGACATATGATTTCAGGTCCCGTTGGTACAGTTTGTTTCCAAACACACCTGCCAAGGATTTAACTAGAGCTTATTTAGGATGAAGGAGAGCAGTGAGGCCATTATTTGGTGTCAAAGCATGGATTTATTTCCAAATTGGTAAATCACATAAGGTTTCTTTTGTCCTTTGAAAAATCTGCAGATCCAATATTTCCTTGACCTGTTCAAATATGTGACTATAACAAAAGGTGTCAGGTTGGTGAGATTTGTGGGATGTTTGTTCAGAGATGCTACAGTCCCTAGCATAATGCATCTGACTCTGCCATGTTTAGGTTAAGCGTCTTTACAAGTCTTTGTTGTTGTCCACCTCTCTGATGTTCCATCCAGTGATTTGTGGAGGTGCTAATCTCCGTTTGATTGTCAGCACATGACTGCTTATTACTTGGCATGCAACTTGTACATGATCCTTGGTAAGCTGCCTCCATAATTTCAAATGCAGAACTGGAACAGTAACACCAATGCACTCTGCTACCGCCTATGTTCATAACTTTAGGGTTACTCAACACTGCTTCATGAAGATTAGGAGAAAACTTGGATAGGAGACTTAAGTCTGTCATATTCCTTTCAAGAGATATTTTTGAACGTGTATTGTAAACATTGTGAGAGAGCCCAAAACAGATTGGCTCCATCATTAGCTAAATTGGGTCTTGTCACTTAAAAGAGCACTGGACAACCCAAACTCTGTTAAAGCATTTTATTCATTGGGTCTGGGATGTTTAAAAAATCACAGAGGCAGTCAATCATTGATCATAATATCTTGATTCTACAAGATCTAAGGGACCACAAAACAACTTTGAGTATGAGATACTGTTTACTTTAGAGTATATTGGTAGCCAGGGGTTCAAGTGTTAGATTTTCATTTACTTCATGACTCCCGAGTTCAATATAGGAAAACTCCAATGTAGGATTCACCAGATACTGACCAGTGGGTAGGAATAGTCTAGACTGACTGATTCCTGCCATAAGCTGGTTAGGCAACACTGTTAATATTAGTCTTGAGAAAAGGTAAAACATGGATGTATAGATTAATGTCATTAGCATGGTGTGATGACTTGAAGTCACAAAATAACTTTTAGATGGCTTTTTGTGTACTGCAATCCTTTCATCGCCTGCTGTGAGTCTGTGAAGAATATTATTTTCCTGGGCCAGTAGATTCCCACTGACAAGGGAGCTGTACGCATTAATAGACTTGTCAGTCATATCGTGTCATAGGTAAGTCGATTACCTGCCAGTGAACTGCCACTGGACTTGTTTGGAGATAATACTGTCATACAAGCCAGATAGTCAGGCCTACGCTGTCATAGACAGGAGACCTGTGTATTGACACAGGATAGTGTTGATAACTTGTTGGGTGCATAGATGAAATATTGTGGGCATATTGGAACCTCGCTCATGACATAGCTAAATTCACAAAGTGAAGGATTTGCAGAAAAGAATGACTTTTTATATCCTGTGTGCTAATGCTGGTTGTTGTGAAAATTAGAGACAAATCATCTTAATTCAGTTTAAATAATGCTGACAATTACTTGAGAAACTACGAGGAGTTATAATAAAAAAGGAATTCATAAGTTGGCTTATAACTATCTGCCGGACAGTGGGGCATGTAGAGGAAAATTCCATGCAGCCCAACAGAAGAGTTACTAACCACGGGCAGCCAGGCAGGCAGTTATTTGTAATTTTTATTTGTTACACTGCTCTCAAATCTTTCAATAATCTATTGTTATTGATTATTTTAAATCCATACTGTATTGGTAAGCAAAAACGCCATCATATAGTTGAATTTTGATTCCAGCAAGTGAAGCTTCCTGATATGTTACTTTTGTTCCAATTCAGTCGCATCAGTAGACCAAAATACTAAATAACATTCAATGAAACTCTCCAGGACAGCATTATGGTCAAAATAACGCCTCTGTAAACAATGCCTGTGGGAAGAATTACACATGCCCATCACTAGCTGATCACTGCACTCTTGATCAGTGCTTACTGCTTGAAATGTACGTCATGGAATTCCCACTTTCAGACAATCGATGACGTAAATATCAAAAACTTTGTCTAGATAGTTGTTCAACAGTTGATATATGCATTTCTAAATATGATGTTATATTAAGCATGTTTTTTTCCCAGACTTTATCATGGTAAAGTTAATTCATTGAATATTCCTTCAGTGTTTGCTTGTCTTAGTATTTGGTACAGCTCATACTTTCATGCATTACCTTGATACAGATTTAGCTGATAACCACACTGTTCCCCACATTGTTTCCGTGAATTATATTATATATATAACAATACAATTATCTCAAGTTGAAATGGGCACATTGATAGGAAACGTTCAGTAACTACGACCAACCAGCTTCTAATAAGTTTGACAGTTCTTTCGCTAACGTAAGTGGCACTTTCTATACTTAGACTCGCATAATGATTGGCCAACGTAATGCATCTGACACTAAGTCCAGCTTCACATGCACATACGCTGTCAACTGTCACTGTCATATTTAAGTGATAAGATTATGAAACATACAATATAAATATATTTTACGTAGAATCGTAAGAACAGGCGAGACCAGTGAAACATCTGGTGAACAGGGTTATTGGAGACACTTGGTGCTATTGGAAGTCTGTGGTCACGCCATAAGCACAGTTGTGACCTCTCACAGGAATTTGTAGTTATTAATTGGTATTTTCTATTGTGTATAACTATGAGTTCATGTAGATTATTCGAGTTTTGTCAATTAAGCTATTGTCTTGATTTTATATTAGTTTAATCTCACCTTCCGTTCTGTAGCAATGATTCATTTCATCAGATTATTCTATCAATCGCTCCATCACTACTGTTTACAATTCAGACAACATTACCATCACGGAGCTCTAGGACTGACAAAAGGCTTTATTTTGCAGTGGCCTTGGGTGGTTCCTGTCTAGCTGACTTGAGCTGTGAAGACCCACATGCTGTATGCTCATCAACAGGTTTCTGCAAATGTCAGGACAGCTACAATGAGAAAAGTGGTTTCTGCAGTAAGTCCCACGTTGGTCAGCACAAGGACCTGGTTACACTGTTGGGTTCACAACAAGTTAATGCTATTGTACACCTGCATTAGAAACTGCCCAATAGTCAAGATATCATTAGGACAAGTAGAAATGTGCCATTTTGAAGGGAAGGGCTTTGCAATATGTTATACGTTGTAAGGACTAGTGGACTAAAAATGGTCCTTTCTACCACTGTACACAAATACTACCACTAAATCTTTTTGCACTTGGAAGTCCTGGCCAAACAAACCAGTTGTAAAAAGTAATAGGCAAGAATCAACATTGTCCTACACTCTAGTCTCCCAATCTTTAGGAGTATGCTGTACAAATTAGATGGTTTAGCACATCCCTCCCACCCAATCTTTATGTGTTTTTATATTTTTTTAAAATGAGCTTTTGATTCTCTGGTTTCTTCAAAAAGCTGTCCTAGTGTGACATGCATATATATAAGTATTTGACCTTCAAATACTGTCTTGTTTTGGTGTCAGACAGTTGCTTAATGGCCCTGTTATTCACAATCCCTGGTGTGTTTACCTTCCAGCAGAGCAAACAGTTGGAGTAGACAGGACGCCAAGTAGATTTCATGAACTCGTATATTGCATTTTCCAAAGTCAATATGCTCAGATAGAGAAAGTAACTCCATTTTTGAAACAGTTCCTGTTTGTCAAATTTGTAAAGGTCAAAGGCCAGTGTTTCATTTAAATTTATGCTAAAATCGCAGTATGTGTCAAGTATCTAATTTTAAATTGCATGTTCCTAGGTTGAAGAGTTTGATTAAGAATAAGTTTTTGCTATGGCGTATATGAGTTTCAATACAAGTTGAACTCAGAGCAGGAGTGGTGTTGTATGTTTCCATACCGACAGAGGGGGGCCTTTGTGTGATTCAGGTTTCAGTTAAAATGTTTGGAAGTTGGCATTGGCTTGCCTTTGTGGTTGAGTTTGCTCAGATTTCATGGCTGGATATGAAAGAAGTAAGCATCTGCAAGTATTTCAGACTAGTAACAGCCTTCAACTATACCTTCTTAAACAATCAACCACTTGCTTAATCAACAATTTTGATGATGTAACTTTTGTCTCATCAGTTTAATAATCACAAACTCCAATTAAGGCTCATAGCAGATGTTTGCTGCCTTTCAGATAGAAAAACAGAGTTTGTTGTCATTTCGACTACTTGCTGACGCAAGCTTTGAAAGCTACACAGCTGTAAATCTTTATGTAGGTGAAGTATTATTTGGAGTTGTGAAAAGTATTTCAATCAAAATTTACCCAGAGTGTGGAATGGGATGAATATACTTGTGTTAGTTGCTTCAGGTGGTGTTTGTGGTAGGATTCTTCTTTGCATGTTATACCTGTGAGGTGGTTCTTCAGGAGTATCTACTGCAGCGTGACCCACCCAATGCTCAAGTTAAGGAGCTGTACCTCTTCTGTACTGGCACAGCTCATATGTTTCATTCAAATGACTGTCATGTTTAGAATGTTTTACATTCTTTGTGAAAGAGACCTGAATATCATATTGCCAGTTGCTCATATTGATTTCCATTATTTTGTCTGTACGCTTAAAGCTCTCTCCAGTATGTTCAGTAGTCTAATATGCAATACAGTTTTGACATGACTGTATGTACATATGATCATTAACATTGGAGGGGGGGGGGGGGGGGGAGAGAAAGGGGTTGCAAACTTGGTGCACCTCCTGTGTCAGTCCATCAGGATCTCAGATGTTTTTCATTCATATGGGATCTGAAGTCTCAGAATCTACACTGTTATGTGATCAGTGTTTTAAATGATTTGAATACCTAACAAAACAGTCTGGTAAGTGATTAACTGCCTGCATTCAGACATTTTAAATATTGAAAAGTAAAAAAAAATTGAGACAAATTGTATCTTGATTCACTTGAAATAATGCAAACAATTACTTGAGAATCTTCAAGGAGTTATGATAAAACCTAATGCGTAAGTAGCCTTAAAATTATCATCCAGACAGTTGGGCAGGTGGAGGAAAATTATATGCAGCCCGACTGAATAGTTACCAACCAGGGGCAGGCCATCTCCCCAAGGCAAAGAGTTAAGCGGTCGAAGTAGGCTGAAATTTCAGAGTTATATTTGGCTGGACTAACGAGCCTATGCATAGTCCAATAAAAATCGCACAATGAACTAGACATCCTGTTCGTAAACAACATGAATTTCAACATGCAAATTTTGATCGACTGCAGGATTTGCAAAGCATGTGTACTGTCAACTGGGTGTTGACAGATATTTTGCAAATGTTTTTCATGTTTTTCATCAAGGTGTTCAAATGATTTGATTCCCTTCGCAAGGTAAGACCCGTATATACAAAACATAGATCTTGATTATTGATCAGATCGTCTTGACTGGGCGCCACCATTTCGTTTGAAGCAAGTGCAAATGATATGAGTTGTGGAATCTGATTGGTGAATAGGAGGCACATGGAACGGACATAACTCGCTATAGCCACTGGTGACCCTATGATCAAGGCAAGAAATTCCAGCATAGTTCAGCAAGGGTTGAAACTGGACTTTCATAGTCAGTAAACTTCCTTGCTGCGGGAGGATGTGGACAGGTGGGCATTCAGTTGCTTCGAACACTGAATGTGATGCCCCCCTGATTCTCAATCAAGCCCCAAGGATATTATTGGATATAGGATATAGGATATTATTGATATTATTGATATAATGTGCATGCTGCTGACTTGGGAGTCACTTTGATGTGCATGCATGTATTGTGCAGGCACCATGTGTGCTGCCTACTGTGTGATATTTATTGTTGTGACTGTTTGCTCCAGGAGAGGTATGTGGCCCAGATCAGGCAGAGTGCAAGATTCGAGGGACGTCATGGGTGGGACCAGACTGCATCCCGAAGTCCAAGCTTTGTGATGGTACCACAGAATGTGCGGATGGATCGGATGAGAGAGACTGCTCCCCTTCAGGTGAATAGACTTGGCACGTTGTCAGGCCAACATTCTACTTACCTCCAACTTTACCTAATATTTAGTACATGACCAGAAGGCGGGGGATTCCAGTTTTTGGTTTAGGTAGGTTTTAAATGAGGGGTATCAGACATTCATGATGTACTAGATTGATAGGAATTCATTGTCATATGGGTTAGCATTCAAAATAGCTGGGAATGAATGCGGCTGTTAGATGGTTACCACCTTGACACGACACAAATCTGTATATGAGAGAGAGGGGGAGGGTGATGTTATTGTTTGAACTGCAGTTATCATTCATCATTCATCATTCATTTGGCTCCAACTGAATCCGTACAGAGAGAGCATAGTACCTTCATACACCTAAAATATATAACATTAATTTCTACCCTGTACATAACATTTAACCATTGTAAATACACAAATATCTACAGACCTGCACATGACTCGCATATACACCAAAACCTACTTGACTCACATATTCAATTATGGTGACATAAAATTACTACTACCTATTCACACATACACACACAAACATACACACACACACATTAAAACTGAAATGAAATGAAAGTGATTGAATGCGAACAACAAGCCGAATGCTGCACTTTTGTTCTGAGTCACTGGTGCGTAGTGCAAGTTGTGTTATCAATTCTATGGGGAGATAGAGGACTACTATTAAATAGAACGAATGTAATGTCCAACTGGTGATGGGATTGAATTATCAAGAAAGGGAATTGTATTCACTGTACTCAATAAGAAAAACCATGTTATTACTATGTGGCCAATCACAATCAAATATGACATCATCTGATATAGTTTCCATGGTCGTTTAATGGATGGAACTCATGGATGTACAGTTTCCTTATATAAATCTGAATTAAAAAGCCAAGCTAAGACGGCAACATGAAATATATACTCTATGGCATGCATTTAAGGTAATTTTTCATTATGTTATTATTTGGATACAGTTCATTTTTAAATAGAAATATGAAAAATCAGAGCTCTAGACAAGTTTTTGGTTATTTGGGGATTTTACCCATTTTATTTATAATCCCTGTAAATCATAAAACCAAATAAATAGTAGTGTACACTAGGGGTGTCATGATAAATCGAAATATCAATAGATTGAAAACTGGTTAGCACTTAAAGTCAATAAATCGATTGTTAAATCAGTTTCGAAACAATTGTATCAATTTCAGTTAGGAATATCGATAGTTTCTATTGTACATGCAATGCTGTTCATATTTGTTTTTCTTTTGATCATGTGTGGTAGTAATTTACACATGGTAATGTGGAAGTTTCTTTTTCTTAGATTATTAGGGTAAAGAAAAAAATAATCAGTCATATCTCAAACTTTACTTTTTATTATTGTTGATAAACTTCAGTTCCAAAGTTTAATTCAACTCTAAAATCCATCTAAAGTGATAGACTGAAAACTATCGATATTTATCGCAATAGTTGCTTGCAATATCAATAGTTATCACAATAGTTATTTTCAATATCAATAGTTATTGCAATAGTGATTTCCAGACCAATAGTCACCCCTATAGTTTTTGTTGTGTATTTGATATGCTAGGGATTGGATTGTCTGCATATTTCGGTTATAATTTAAAGTGTATTTTATGCAAATACTCAGCTTATCTACAGCTCTGATTTTGATATTAATATTTTCTCAGAATAATAAGGTTTGAACTGCTTCAAGCAACATATGTATCAGAATGCTGTAGGTTTAGAAAGGAGTTTCTTCCTTGTCAGATAGACTTGAGCTTGGTTGACTCAGCATGATGTACAGTGATAACAGTTACATCCTAGTCTGGCTGGGTGTGGTATGTTAGAGATTATGTTCATAACTAGTTTATTGGTTGTTGATTTTGTTAGCACTGGTGGCGGATAAACAGTTAGAACCATGGCAAAGGAAATCCCCAGCAAGTCTCCCTGGTGATGGGAACTATGATAGTATGGGCTATGGCAATGACCTACAGATCCCTGACTTACCACAGGGAAAGTACTCCAGGACAGATCTTGAGAAGGAGCTGAGTGACGGCAAGGAAGTGGGACAGGGAGGCTACACTAAGGATGCTGATCACTCTGACAAACTCGCTGACAGTGTCAACAATGCATACAGCAATACCAGGGGAAAGGTGCATGATTACCAGTACTCATCTGATGTGGATAAAGAGTTGGAGAGAGTAAGCGTGTCTGTGACTGACCGGCCTATGGTGAAGCCTACATTCCTCCCATCTAAGCCAGTGGCATCATGGTACAGAGATGATGAGACCCCTGAGGGGCCGAGGTTTGAGGACAGGCACAAGGGCAACTCAGATGTTGCCAGTAAGAGGGTTCACAGGGTCGACACAACTGTTGAGGAAAGTGAAAATAGACTTCCAGGGACTTCAGGAAACAAGGCTCCAAAGCTTGATCTACATGCAGCTGCAGCTGGTCGTCCTGAAGGAAAACCTCGAGCTCCTCAAAGAGCTAAACCTGAGATTCCTCACTCTCCCTCACAGGCAAGCTTGCCTGAAGCTCAGCCAAGTCAAGTGTATCTGAAACCCAGCAGTCAGGACTCTGCATTCCAGACACTGGCCCCTGATGCCCCATCACGGGAAGATGCCAGCATGATGGACAATAAACCTGCCTCTAACATGGGCTACAGGCCATTTGACAGACCATATTCACCACATGGCCTGAACAGACAACCCTCAAGGATCCAGAAAATAAACTCCAATATTCCTGCTCCAGATTATGACACCAGTCTGTATGGGCTTGGGCAGCAACGCCCTTACCCCATGAGGAGACCATACCAGCAAGGCCGTCCTAATGGCCCGTATCGGAAGTTCCCTGATACTGGTTTCAACCACCCATACACAGGAGGCTACAACAACTATGACTACAATGACTTTGATCCCTATGTTCCCCTCCAAGGCACTGACTACAACAGTCCTGACAACCACAGAACTTATGGAAGCCATGACAAAGCGAACTACCCTTTTAAGTCTTATGGTGGAGGTACTCTATCGTTGTTGTGCTCACTGGAACCACCAGCATAGTGTGTTGTTGGCTTTTTGTCTTCATTGTGTTGCAGTATACTCTTCAGTTCCTTCTGTCTCCTTGTTTTCCTTTTAGTTGCAGATAGTCTCTTATGCTGTTCTGTATTTGTGTATTTAGTCCAGATAGACAAACTGTATTGTTTTAAAATTGGTGGTTAAAATGTAGTAATTCCTATGAAAATCCTTTTTAACATTATGGTTGTTTTTGGTTGAAGTCTCACAAGCTTCTCCTGGATGCCACTTGTGTGTTTTCTTCTGCTCGTCACCCCCTGCAATTGTCAGTGTTGTACTGTGTTGATGTGACACTCTTTTTCATCTTGCTTCATCACCTGTATCACAAAAGATTGTATTTCATAGCACTGAATTCTTTCACCAGTCACATCATTCATTTATTAAATCTTATCACTTTTCACAATGTCTGAAAATACTTGTTGCATTTAAATTTATCATATTTTATCAGTAGATTTTGAAATATTAACTATTTCCTGCAAGGTTGTTGAAACAATATTTCTGAGACACATGCCCCAACTGTCCATATTGAACATGTGAAAGAGCAATATAAAGATGCATCAAGCAAATCATTTAATAAATTAAATAAAGTAATAAATCAACAATAATATTTCTAAAAATGGTCAAACTTATACCTAGGTTCTATCTATTCACAAAATTGTATAATGTAAGTCAAATGACATCAGCATTTGTATCATCAATTTGTAGGCTCAGCCATGATGCCAAAATATATGCATGTGAAATCTAAGACACAGGTCGTAACCAAGCATGATATGTCCGCAAAGTTCCATATTTTAAGGTTATTTATAGGTCATGACTTCCTGCATAAAACATTCAGAATAACACAATTTATACATCATACGAGAGGACAGTATCCATTGAGGTAAAAGATCATGGTCCTTATAGAAATAACAGTAAAAAGTGCCATTAGATATCAATTTCTATTCAGTAAAATCAAGTGTTACAACTATGAAAATACTCCTTGCAAGGTTACTGTAATATTATTCATGTTCAAAGCTTTCTGATGGTACCAAACATCGAACAAATCTTTGCACATGTTTATTCATACAAAGCTTCAAAAACAGAGGTAATTCCCGGTATTTTCTTATGTTGCTGAGTGGAAAGCAACTATTATCAGGAAATAGGTGATGATAGATGGTATTTAAAACTCTTTTTATCATCATTTTCCAATTACTTGAAAATAAAAACAAAAAAGTTGCGAAAATTGCCATTATTGCCTTGGTGCTTAATCTGAACTTCCTGAATATGTTAGTTTTCATTTTTAATAATGTTAATGTTATCAGTGCTTTGTTTAAATAATGTGATAACTTTCATATTTTAAACATTATGACATGTAGCAACAAAGATGTTTTGCATAGATATAGACTTCATCTATCACCCTAGAGTCTCTGGGAACTCGATGCGATGGCAGTAAAAGCCATGGTTGCGTGGTGATGAAAGAGTTAATCATGTAAACATTCAATCAAACTCAATTCTTCAAAACTTTGAAACATCTTTAAATGTATTGTACAAACTGTGCAGGGTTTCCAAGTCTAAGGGAACATTATGTTCCTTGTGTTGTGTCTTGTGATATAGAGGAACATGCATATACTCAGGCAATTTCTTGTATTTGCAGACTATCATGATGGAAACAGACCCCAGGACATGGTACCCTCCCAAGGTGAGATATATGTATTGTCATGTAATGTGAGATCTGTGTTTCATGTGAGAAGGTACTGGACAGTGAGATCTGTTTCATGTGAGAATGTACTGAGATATGTGAGAATGTACTGGGAGGTGAGATCTGTGTTTCATGTGAGAAGGTACTTGACAGTGAGATCTGTTTCATGTGAGAATGTACTGGGATCTGTGTTTCATGTGAGAATGTACTGGAAGGTGAGATCTGTTTCATGTGAGAATGTACTGGGAGGTGAGATCTGTGTTTCATGTGAGAATGTGCTGGTAGGTGAGATCTGTGTTTCATGTGAGAATGTACTGAGATCTGTGTTTCAAGTGAGAATGTACTGAGATATGTGAGAATGTACTGGTAGGTGAGATCTGTGTTTCATGTGAGAAGGTACTTGACAGTGAGATCTGTTTCATGTGAGAATGTACTGGGATCTGTGTTTCATGTGAGAATGTACTGGGAGGTGAGAATGTACTGGGCGTTGAAATCTGTGTTTCATGTGAGAAGGTACTGGGTGGTGAGATCTGTGTTTCATGTGAGAATGTACTGGGAAGTGAGATCTGTGTTTCATGTGAGAATGTACTGGTAGGTGAGATCTGTGTTTCATGTGAGAATGTACTGGAAGGTGAGATCTGTGTGTCATGTGAGAATGTACTGGTAGGTGAGATCTGTGTTTCATGTGAGAATGTACTGGGAGGTGAGATCTGTGTTTCATGTGAGAATGTACTGGGAGGTGAGATCTGTGTTTCATGTGAGAATGTACTGGTAGGTGAGATCTGTATGTCATGTGAGAATGTACTGAAAGGTGAGATCTGTGTTTCATGTGAGAATGTACTGGTAGGTGAGATCTGTGTGTCATGTGAAAATGTACTGGGTGGTGAGATATGTGTGTCATGTGAGAATGTACTGGTAGGTGAGATCTGTGTTTCATGTGAGAATGTACTGAGATCTGTGTTTATGTGAGAAGGTACTGGGTGGTGAGATCTGTGTTTCATGTGAGAATGTACTGAGATCTGTGTTTCATGTGAGAATGTACTGAGATCTGTGTTTCATGTGAGAATGTACTTAGATCTGTGTTTCATGTGAAAAGGTACTGGGTGGTGAGATCTGTGTTTCATGTGAGAATGTACTAGGAGGTGAGATCTGTGTTTCATGTGAGAATGTACTGCCAGGTGAGATCTCTGTGTCATGTGAGAATGTACTGGTAGGTGAGATCTGTGTTTCATGTGAGAATGTACTGGTAGGTGAGATCTGTGTGTCATGTGAGAATGTACTGGTAGGTGAGATCTTTGTGTCATGTGAGAATGTACTGGTAGGTGAGATCTGTGTTTCATGTGAGAATGTACTGGGAGGTGAGATCTGTGTGTCATGTGAGAATGTACTGGTAGGTGAGATCTGTGTTTCATGTGAGAATGTACTGGTAGGTGAGATCTGTGTGTCATGTGAGAATGTACTGGTAGGTGAGATCTGTGTGTCATGTGAGAATGTACTGGGAGGTAAGATCTGTGTTTCAAGCGGTATATGTCAGATGAAAATATCTATTTTGCAGACATGACAGATGAACAGGTTACATCATCTCAGGATTCCGTCAAGTCCAACAACTTTCCTGCAGTCACAGAAGACAAACCTACTCAACAAGGCGGTAAAAGTACAGGTTTGTGTTTTCCATTATTGGTGTGTATAAATGGCAACCCTGTAATGAGTAAATTTTGAAATGGTAGAGCTGAGTTGGTGAGAGATGCATCCCTTTAGAGACCGGACATGGAAATTGAGCGACAATCTAAAATGTACTGTTTTCTTTTTTTTAGATGCAGCCTCACACTCTTCAGAGGCTAAAACTGATACAGCAGTGTCCACTAACATGGTTAAAGCAGAGAAAAAGCCAGTCAGTGAAGACAAAGATGACAAGCATGTGTCCAATGACAGCCAAAGTAACAAAGATACCCAACAGACAGACAGCAAAATGAGACCAACAGAATCTGAAGAAAAATTTAGGGATGACAAAACACAGCCTCTTACTAAGAGCGACACTGCAATGAAAACAGCTGCTGGCCCGAGTGTGAAACCAGCTGCTGGCCCGAGTGTGAAACCAGCTGCTGGCCCGAGTGTGAAACCAGCTGCTACACCAGAACAACATCCACATGTTAATGTGGTAAGTAACGAAGAGGAGACAGTATTTCTCACCAAGGAAAAAGTCATTGTAGCTAGCCCAACAGACAATGCTCAGGGACCTATAGTTGCTCTGTCACTTGGTCTGGCCATAACAGTTATATTGCTTGTGTTCGTTGGATGTCGGCTTAGAAATGTGAGACGGCGGTTACGAAAAGGACGACCCCTACATTCCAATGAGGCAGACTATCTCATAAATGGGATGTACTTGTAAACAAAATTATTTCTGATCATTGGTTGTTCAAACAAAAAGTTTGTTTTAATATCATTTAATTGTGTACATCAGTGTCCTTGTGTATCAAATATAAATAAACATTTTGCCGAGTTGCAAATCAAATATAGAGAGAAAACTTAAACATTCCTTCAAAGAGGTTTATGATATTAAGTGCATAAAATCCTACATTTAAATAATCTCAAGATGTATTTTTCTCTAATCTGATCTCTAATTTCAACAATTCCCACCAAGGACGGAAATGTACACATGTACACATTAAGCCATATTAAGCATTGCCACTCCACTCTCATGCTCTTAAAGTAACATTTTAAAGGAATACATGAAACCTTTTTATACTCCGATTTCTTACTTTTACATCAGCTTTAAGTGTGTGAAGTGTATCTTGGAATTAGAAATCCATTGGCATATTTTTGACTGATTTTCAATGGTAATTCCTTTAATCATTGACTTTAATTGAAAGGATAACATACTCAGTTTATTAGAACTGTTCTTACTTAAAAATATTTCTTTTCTCTTATTATCTTATACTTTAATGATGTAGATATGCACTGCTAATTAGGATGCAATATTGTCAGGCTTTGTTAGCCGTTTCCTCCAGCATCCCCATGTACATGTAATACTGCAGCCCTCCACGTCACTGTGCATTTCGGCCAAATCAGCGTTTTCTATAGGTGTATACAAATTATGATATTTGATCCAAACATTCAGAAGTGAGGACTGAACTCGAGGTTACCTCTGTTGTGAGGAACATATTCATATATGTGTGAAGAAATATGTTTGCTTAATCCTTCTCTATTCTTTGAATTACTTCAAAGTAGTATTGTTTTATCAGATGCTATTGTAAATAATTTGTCTGGTTCATTTTGTTTGTTACTGTGTATTCAATCTGGATCATTATGCAGTTGTCAGTTCAGTATACAGCAGCCAGAAAAATACATTCTAATCAAAACTATATTTATACATTCCATTTTATTTCTTTTGCTCATATGTGATGTTTTGAAAATATTGATTTCTATCTACCCTTGTTACTCCCTGAGTTACTCGACATACTTTTTATCACTGTTGACTTGCTCATGTCAAATCAAATTTTAATAAAAAAAACTCATTTATCACCTGCAATCAACTACATTTATGTATGCCAAGTTGGTGACTATTTAGCTCTGCATTTGTATTTATACACTTTGTAGACATCTTGTTAAACAGTATTTAGTGTGTCTCTTACTGATGTGTTGTGAAATCTGTGCTCTTCAAATTTTCTTGTAAATCAATGAATTTGAAATTTCATGAATATGTTTTAAATCAAACAGTAACAAAATCAGTCTTCATCATGTTCATGTTTTATTTTGACATGGTTGTGCAAGTTCAGTTAATCTGCTCCATCTTTCATTTTAAAAGTTTGATGAAGATGTATGAATATTTGTTTACAAATCCAATGCAGTGTATTCAAGTTGAAATGGTACATTGCCTGCCTTGCTGGATTGGAGTGACTGATGATTCTAAATGACAGGTCCGGATGTGGACTGGTCCATATCTTCATCATGTAGATCCTAATTTTGTGCACGGACAAGAATCTGCTTGCATTCCACGTCATCGAAGTCCGTGCTTATATAGTGGGGCCAAGCCAGCTTTATGCAAGTGGGTTCTCATCAAATGTATGCTATTTAATGTTAGCAGACATCTCTGTGACATGATGCATCAGTAACTTATGTGCAACCATGGTAACAGGGTCTGGATGGGTGGTAGGGGGGAGACAACCAAGAACTCTACTTACAATTGGGACAAAGACTAGAAATGAGGTGCACAATTGTAATAGTAACTTTTCGTAGCTATTCATAAAGCAACTTCAAATGTACTACTTATCTCTATGTAGCAGTACCTCATTCGTCCTTACAATGTGCTATCACAAGTCATCTGTCATTATGCACATAAAATGACAAAACTGCGAAAAAACACTGAGGTAGGTCACTGTAAATTTATGCAGTGTATTTATGTACATCAGCTTAGGAGTTTTCTCTACTTAATGGTCATATGTAATTGAACAAGAATCTTCAGCTGTTCAGGATTTGTTCACTCCAGGAAAACAAGGCTTCAAATGAGGTTGAGCATGAATTCCAGATATAGTAGGCCTGTATTTCAGTGATCATGTCAGTGCTGTACATACCACTGGGTAATAACAAAAATATTAGTAACATTTAATGGAGAGTTTTCTATATAAATGTAAATGAATAAATACTAGTTTGTAGTTGGTTGGACTACTATTTATTCATATTTCAGATTAGTCAAGACATTTAACAAGACGATCTAAAATCAGTGATAGTTTGCAGTAACTGTAGAGATGTATTTCTTGTGTCTTTCATTTGGTGTTGCCCACATGTGTTGTGTGTGATGTAGGTGGAAAACTTTGTTTTTACTTCAGGTGGGGGGCATGATTTCCCACTGCTGTAGAAAGGTCCCAACACTGGGCCAGTGGGGATATCTGGAGTAGCATTGGAAATCAAACGTTTGTTTTTCAAAGAAAGTTTACCACATATTATATATCCTGTACCCTGTAACTTTCAGTTTTAGTGTACAAACATTATTGATTGTGTGTAGGGGTGACATCAGTCTCTTTTTCACTGTTGTCTGTGATATTTGTTTCTTTCACAGAAATAAAAAGTATTTTGTAATTATTGTTTTTGTTTGTCAACGAGGATGTGAAACCAGTTGAAGGCCATACTCAGTGGAATTCTTTGTGATACAAAGTTCCCGACTCAGGTAATCTTAGGAAGTGTATTTGGTCTGATATGCTCTGCTGGTTTAGCTGTGAGACAAGTGGACTAACCTCCTGTGTTGTATAGATCATCAGGCAATGTAGTTCATACAGCAGTGTTAGCAGGACTACATTTATGGCCATGCACACACGGCTCTTGATGGAGGGGTGCCTGAAAGGTTATGAGCCTGACAATGATGGACTGTTGAGTTTGATGCTTATTACTTTTCAGTGTATCCCCCTCCTAGGTCCACACACTTCTACCAACAATGCTGGAGTTCCTGCATCCCACTGGTGGGGTGAAACATCCACCACAGCAGAAATGACATCATCAGATAGTTCTTTCTGTCAAGTTTGGGAAGAGGTGGATATGTGATGGTACCAAATCCAGTGAATATGGCAGATGTTCAGTGAGTTCAAAGCCACAGTCATGCATTGTGACAACAGACTTATGCACAGGTGCATTGTCCTGGTGGAACACCACACCTTTAGTGAAGGAACAGACTTTTGCCTTCTTTGTCTGAGTCGATACTGGATGTTTCCCCTGCCTTGTTTAACCTCTGGCTGATCGTGTTGAACCCAAGGCTCATCCATAGTTACAAATGGCTCAACAAAAGTTATAATTGTGCAATTATTACAATATTTCAACTTTTAGGGACAAGTTTCAGACTCTGGGTTAGAGTGGTCCCCAGCAAGCTATGCTGGTGGTAAGTGGCAGTTCAGAGGTTCAGACTTCCAGACTTGGTTGATAGCATAGATTGCTACACTGAACCCCAAATCTATCCCAAATGTTATCTTTAATATCAAAACTATCAAATCTCTTTTAATAAGGAACCAAGAGCTTGTTTAAGCAGTTTAATGAGCAAATATGTACAAACTGTTACAAAACAAGCACACAAATGTAGATGGACAATTTGCTCTAATCAGCAGAGGGTTGGCAACAGTCCACAGTTGCCTTTGCAAAGAAGAGCAAGAAATTGACCAGTTTGGTTTTAGGTCTAGTTGTAGCATCATACAACAGTGAGTGTTGTTAAGAGACGACACCATGATAAATAATGCTCATTTAGACAATCTCACAGAGCTCAAGCTACTAATATACTACAAACTTTATCATCCAGACATATTTTTACTGCCATTGCTTTTCTCCATAGTGATCACTACAACTAGATACTTAACATTTCATTGAAGAAAAAAGCATTTGAAACTGGAACAAGGGCTATGTATTTAACACAATGCCAAAAATTCCTTTTTGAAATGTATGTGAGCCACCTAAATATGTAATGACAATGGTGCCATTCCAGACTGCCTGTCACATGACACATGACACATGACACTACTCCAGCTGACAGCTGCATGAAATATACACCCCTCGCCCACAGTCAGTGACAAATATATACACTCAGCATAGTGACCTATGTACACCTGGACACATCCACAGCACAAGGTTGAAGTGAACATACAGGGCAGGCCCAGAGTTACCTTGCCATGTTTGTAATTTCTAAGTTTTGACCTGAAGAGATCTGACATGGTGGAGCTGGCTTGATTCCTATGTTTGTCATCTACCTGGGACTATGGACAGGATCGTAGGGGTTTGAGATGATCAGCATAAAAAGGACTGATTTGTCGCAACATTCACCTGTACACAAAGTGTAAAATAAAATATGCTACAGTGTATTACAGGTCTACACTAAAATAATGAACAAAAACAAATCAAATGTATCATTCTACTGTAACACTTGCTTTCATCTAACAAATAAGCTCAGTGTGGAACATGTATCAGAATTCAGGTTAACTGTACGGTAAAACATAACTCGGGAAACGTGGTTAAAACAATCAACACAATTACAGTCAGGTGAGAAACACTGCTTCAACTGGCATGTTGCTCTACATTTGCCGTGGTGACTACTGCACAAAGTGGCATGTGAACACCAGCGACACTGACTGTAGTGCCGACCTCATCACATCAAGGTCAAGGCTGTCAGAAAGCGTAAGACAGTTGGAGACACTATCACTGGGACTCAAACTGGTCAGCAGCAGGGCTTCTTGTACTCACAGCTCCGGTTTGGGTCTGAAATGTAAGATACAGCTACAGGGAGGTATTGTCTCAAGAGGCAACAGAAATCAGCTAATGTCTCCATACTGCTCACAACAAACAGTTCACCCTACTTTCTTCAAATTCCTCGATTATCCAGTGTATAAATACCCTGGACCCATTTGCCACCATTACTTCATTTCAGGAGTGACATAATCACCTCAGTTATCACTAACTTTACACTCAGTTTCTATCGTTCATCAGCTTGAAATCTATAACCAACTACAATACCACTTCTGAATGTGAGATCATCATACATCGACATTCAAATTGTATGAGAGACCTGATATATATAACTGAATCAGAATATGACCTTTTCAATACCAAAGCTGTTATTCTGATTGTTACGATATTGGGAAGGAAGATCTTATGTTACCAGACATTTTCAGTTTTATTTTTTGACCATATGCAACAAGGCGAGTGAGTCATGGTGACATTGCCGCTTACTGCAGTCATGAAAGAAAAGCGTAATTGGATTGGATGGCTATTGTTAGCATTGTGTCATTCAGGGTATTTATCCTAATAGAATGGTGACATAGTACCCTAGATAATCAAGGATGCAATCTACTTATGAAGTGTTATATTCGAAATGCAGTCAATACATAACTCAAACTAGGCTGGAATTTTTAGGATAGATCATAGCGCCACCAGTGGCTATTACGAGTCATGTCCCTTCTATGTCCCTCCTAGATTCCACCTATCATATTACTTGCATTTGTTTCAAGCAGAATGGTGACGTGCAGTCAAGACAATCTGATTGATAATCAAGATCTATATTGTAATAAAACGGGTCTTATTTCGCAAAATGCATCACTGTACATGAGCACCTTGATTAAAAAGATTTGGAAAATACCTGTCAACACCAAAATTGACGGTACACATGCTTTGCAAATTCTGCAATTAACTGATAAGTGCACAGCAGTTTACAAACCAGATGGCAATTTCATAACGCGATATTGATTGGACTATGCATAGACTCGTACTCATTCCAAAACATAACTCCGAAATCCCAGCCTAGTTTAGCAAGGGTGGAAACTGGACTTACAATACAGTCAGTTAACTCCCTTGCCTCGGGAAGATGGTGTATTAACTGAATAACCAAAGGAATTAACACCACTGTGTTTGATAATAAGTTTCTACAGTGTGAATTGGCAACTAAATCCTACCTACAAGAGCTCCCCCTTACAACAGACAGCATTGACTGTACCTACACAAACAGACAACAGACCTTACATCAATCTCAGCTGAACCACAAAACTACTGCATGCAAAGCTGGAAGAGTTGTCTCCCTCCAGGAATTCATTGTAAGTCATTGTGGATGTATGCAATAGGGCCAAGTTGCTTTATCATACCTCCATGTCAGAATGACGACATCTGATTGGTTCATGTGATCTTGATAAAAAACTATGAATTCTGCTGGGTATGGAAATATATTTCTGAGCGGGTGAATAAATCTCTTATACCTTGCATCAAAGCAAAAAGCAACACTCTTTTTCCAAGTCAATGAAAGTCATGTGACATAGCACAAGTTAACCTTAGCTGAATCGAACAGCTGTTTTCTATCAATTTTGAATTTGTGTTAATTTTTTTACAATGTCACATTAAAACATGTTGGTAAGATAAATTAGTTGTTGCAGGATCCTGCTCGTGGCATAAAACCTAGCGAGGGATGCATAAAACCACATGTACCCCGATTGATACTGCTACAACTAATAATCAGAATCATCATCAGTTATAGTTTTTTTGCCAATACATTTAGTGAATAACCTGTGTACTACACAGAATCAAGGACAATCTATCCTGAGTAAGCCAAAGCTTGGGACTTTCAACATTATTGCATGAGGGACAGATAACCCATCATTCTGAGTTGCATGTAGATTATTATATATATATTATGTTATTATGTTATAACAGTCTATTTTTCTATGAAAATGTAGACAAAATGTGGGGAGACAACAGCTTCACATAAAACTATCTGTAACAAACAGATTAATTACTTTCTACATAATATTGCTGTATATGCTATACACTGCTGCAATATTGTCAGGTGGATTGGAATACAATAATAGTTCGTGATCCATGGGTCCTTAAAGATTCAAGTGATAACAAACCTGTCTTCTCATTACCAAAATATCAGTGGCAACAGTCATGATTCCGTTTCTGTTATTAGGCACATTATATAGATCAGTAGTACATTTTGTAATGAAAACGACCAGCGCCAGATACTAAGCCATGTTACTAAAGCAGGTTACTCCCATCACACAGTGTTTTCCAGCACACCTGCACTACCTGGCACTAGCATCAACATACACACATGTACTGTGAGGGAACACCTTATACCTGCACTACCTGACACTGAGAGGGAGACACCTTATACCTGCACTACCTGACACTGAGAGGGAGACACCTTATACCTGCACTACCTGACACTGAGAGGGAACACCTTATACCTGCACTACCTGACACTGTGAGGGAACACCTTATACCTGCACTACCTGACACTGAGAGGGAGACACCTTATACCTGCACTACCTGACACTGTGAGGGAACACCTTATACCTGCACTACCTGACACTGAGAGGGAGACACCTTATACCTGCACTACCTGACACTGTGAGGGAACACCTTAAACCTGCACTACCTGACACTGAGAGGGAGACACCTTATACCTGCACTACCTGACACTGAGAGGGAGACACCTTATACCTGCACTACCTGACACTGAGAGGGAGACACCTTATACCTGCACTACCTGACACTGTGAGGGAACACCTTATACCTGCACTACCTGACACTGTGAGGGAACACCTTAAACCTGCACTACCTGACACTGTGAGGGAACACCTTATACCTGCACTACCTGACACTGAGGGGGAGACACCTTATACCTGCACTACCTGACACTGTGAGGGAACACCTTATACCTGCACTACCTGACACTGTGAGGGAACACCTTATACCTGCACTACCTGACACTGTGAGGGAACACCTTATACCTGCACTACCTGACACTGAGGGGGAGACACCTTATACCTGCACTACCTGACACTGAGAGGGAGACATCTTATACCTGCACTACCTGACACTGTGAGGGAACACCTTATACCTGCACTACCTGACACTGAGAGGGAACACCTTATACCTGCACTACCTGACACTGAGAGGGAGACACCTTATACCTGCACTACCTGACACTGAGAGGGAGACATCTTATACCTGCACTACCTGACACTGAGAGGGAACACCTTATACCTGCACTACCTGACACTGAGAGGGAACACCTTATACCTGCCACTGAAGGGGAGACATATTATACCTGTACTACCTGATAATGAGGGGAGACAATATATACCTGTACTACCTGACACTGAGAGGGAACACCTTATACCTGCACTACCTGACACTGAGGGGAGACACCTCATACCCGCATGGAATTTGCTGTGTTTCCCTAAGCAAGCACCTGTTTCCCTTAGCAAGCACCTGTTTCCATAAGCATGCACCTGTTTCCCTAAGCATGCACCTGTGCTGTGTTCCCTAAGCAAGCACTTGTTTCCCTAAGCAAGCACCTGTTTCCCTAAGCAAGCACTTGTTTCCCTAAGCAAGCACCTGTTTCCCTTAGCAAGCACCTGTTTCCATAAGCATGCACCTGTTTCCCTAAGCATGCACCTGTGCTGTGTTCCCTAAGCAAGCACTTGTTTCCCTAAGCAAGCACCTGTTTCCCTAAGCAAGCACTTGTTTTCCTAAGCAAGCACTTGTTTCCCTAAGCAAGCACCTGTTTCCCTAAGCATGTCCCTGTGCTGTGTTCCCTAAGCATGTCCCTGTGCTGTGTTCCCTAAGCATGCACCTCTGCTGTATGACCCATGCAAGTACATGCTGTGCCAGCTACTATCTCCACCTGGGCCACTGCTTGTCCTTGCTAGTCAGTGGCACATAGATGACCCCCATCAGGTTCTTCCTGACCACCTGGCCATCAAGGGTCTTGTCAATCTGCATCAGCTTCTGGTTCTCTCCCTGTCCTCCCACTGGGATGATCAACCGGCCTCCTGGTTTCAGCTGATCCACCAACTGTAAACATACAGCAACCTACACTCAGACAGAGTTGAACAGTAAAACAGTCAGTGAGGGAATGCTGCAGAATGAGACTGAGCACGAAGCTATGCAAGCGGGGTGACCTGCAATCAGCCAGAAACAGACCCTTACAACAATTCCCTGTTTACTGGACACTAATGACAAGCATGAGGTACTGGGAACCTATCCTGACTTAGGATCACCGAAGGGGTGTAAAGTAGTAACAATTTACAAAGGTGTAGGCAACAGGGGTGGGTGTAGGACTAACATTCTGCTACACAAGTAACATTCAGATGTACTGAAGTACAGGACAAGTACAGGACTGCCTACAGACAGGTGCATGCAGGTGTATGGAGGTACATGACTCTACAGACAGGTACATAAGGTGTATTGGGGTACAGGACTCTATAGACAGGTGCATACAGGTGTATGGAGGTACAGGACTCTACAGACAGGTGCATAAGGTGTATTGGGGTACAGGACTCTACAGATAGGTGCATACAGGTGTATGGAGGTACATGACTCTACAGACAGGTACATACAGGTGTATGGAGGTACATGACTCTACAGACAGGTACATACAGGTGTATGGAGGTACAGGACTCTACAGACAGGTGCATACAGGTGTATGGAGGTACAGGACTCTACAGACAGGTGCATACAGGTGTATGGAGGTACAGGACTCTATAGACAGGTGCATAAGGTGTATTGAGGTACAGGACAGTACAGACAGGTACATAAGGTGTATTGAGGTACATGACTCTACAGACAGGTGCATACAGGTGTATTGATGTACAGGACTCTACAGACAGGTACATAAGGTGTATTTGGGTACAGGACTCTAGGCAGGTACATACAGGTGTATGGAGGCACAGGACTCTACAGACAGGTGTATACAGGTGTATTGAGGTACATGACTCTACAGACAGGTGCACACAGGTGTATGGAGGTACAGGACTCTACAGACAGGTACATAAGGTGTATTGGGGTGCAGGACTCTACAGACAGGTGCATACAGGTGTATGGAGGTACAGGACTCTACAGACAGGTACATAAGGTGTATTGAGGTACAGGACTCTACAGACAGGTGCATACAGGTGTATGGAGGTACAGGACTCTACAGACAGGTACATAAGGTGTATTGGGGTACAGGACTCTACAGACAGGTACATAAGGTGTATGGAGGTACAGGACTCTACAGACAGGTACATAAGGTGTATTGAGGTACAGGACTCTACAGACAGGTGCATACAGGTGTATGGAGGTACAGGACTCTACAGACAGGTGCATACAGGTGTATGGAGGTACAGGACTCTACAGACAGGTACTTAAGGTGTATTGGGGTACAGGACTCTACAGACAGGTGCATAAGGTGTATTGAGGTACAGGACTCTACAGACAGGTGCATACAGGGGTATGGAGGTACAGGACTCTACAGACAGGTACATAAGGTGTATTGAGGTACAGGACTCTACAGACAGGTACATACAGGTGTATTTGGGTACAGGACTCTACAGACAGGTGCATGCAGGTGTATGGAGGTACAGGACTCTACAGACAGGTACATCAGGTGTATTGAGGTACAGGACTCTACAGACAGGTGCATAAGGTGTATTGGGGTACAGGACTCTACAGAAAGGTGCATGCAGGTGTATGGAGGTACAGGACTCTACAGACAGGTACATAAGGTGTATGGAGGTACAGGACTCTACAGACAGGTACATCAGGTGTATTGAGATACAGGACTCTACAGACAGGTGCATACAGGTGTATTGAGGTACAGGACTCTACAGACAGGTACATAAGGTGTATGGAGGTACAGGACTCTACAGACAGGTGCATACAGGTGTATGGAGGTACAGGACTCTACAGACAGGTGCATAAGGTGTATTGGGGTACAGGACTCTACAGACAGGTGCATAAGGTGTATTGGGGTACAGGACTCTACAGACAGGTGCATACAGGTGTATGGAGGTACAGGACTCTACAGAAAGGTGCATAAGGTGTATTGGGGTACAGGACTCTACAGACAGGTTCATGCAGGTGTATGGAGGTGCAGGACTCTACAGACAGGTACATAAGGTGTATTGGGGTACAGGACTCTACAGACAGGTACATACAGGTGTATGGAGGTACAGGACTCTACAGACAGGTGCATAAGGTGTATTGGGGTACAGGACTCTACAGACAGGTACATACAGGTGTATTTGGGTACAGGACTCTACAGACAGGTGCATGCAGGTGTATGGAGGTACAGGACTCTACAGACAGGTACATCAGGTGTATTGAGGTACAGGACTCTACAGACAGGTGCATAAGGTGTATTGGGGTACAGGACTCTACAGAAAGGTGCATGCAGGTGTATGGAGGTACAGGACTCTACAGACAGGTACATAAGGTGTATGGAGGTACAGGACTCTACAGACAGGTACATCAGGTGTATTGAGATACAGGACTCTACAGACAGGTGCATACAGGTGTATTGAGGTACAGGACTCTACAGACAGGTACATAAGGTGTATTGGGGTACAGGACTCTACAGACAGGTGCATACAGGTGTATGGAGGTACAGGACTCTACAGACAGGTGCATAAGGTGTATTGGGGTACAGGACTCTACAGACAGGTGCATAAGGTGTATTGGGGTACAGGACTCTACAGACAGGTGCATACAGGTGTATGGAGGTACAGGACTCTACAGAAAGGTGCATAAGGTGTATTGGGGTACAGGACTCTACAGACAGGTTCATGCAGGTGTATGGAGGTGCAGGACTCTACAGACAGGTACATAAGGTGTATTGGGGTACAGGACTCTACAGACAGGTACATACAGGTGTATGGAGGTACAGGACTCTACAGACAGGTGCATAAGGTGTATTGGGGTACAGGACTCTACAGACAGGTGCATAGAGGTGTATGGAGGTACAGGACTCTACAGACAGGTGCATTCAGGTGTATTGGGGTACAGGACTCTACAGACAGGTGCAAAAGGTGTATGGAGGTACAGGACTCGACAGACAGGTGCATAGATGTATTGGGGTAAAGGACTCTACAGACAGGTTCATGCACGTGTATGGAGGTACAGGACTCTACAGACAGGTACATACAGGTGTATTGAGGTACAGGACTCTACAGACAGGGACATAAGGTGTATTGGGGTACAGGACTCTACAGACAGGTGCATAAGGAGTATTGAGGTACAGGACTCTACAGACAGGTGCATACAGGTGTATGGAGGTACAGGACTCTACAGACAGGTACATACAGGTGTATGGAGGTACAGGACTCTACAGACAGGTGCACACAGGTGTATGGAGGTACAGGACTCTACAGACAGGTTCATGCAGGTGTATGGAGGTGCAGGACTCTACAGACAGGTACATAAGGTGTATTGGGGTACAGGACTCTACAGACAGGTACATACAGGTGTATGGAGGTACAGGACTCTACAGACAGGTTCATGCAGGTGTATGGAGGTGCAGGACTCTACAGACAGGTACATAAGGTGTATTGGGGTACAGGACTCTACAGACAGGTACATACAGGTGTATGGAGGTACAGGACTCTACAGACAGGTGCATAAGGTGTATTGGGGTACAGGACTCTACAGACAGGTGCATAGAGGTGTATGGAGGTACAGGACTCTACAGACAGGTGCATTCAGGTGTATTGGGGTACAGGACTCTACAGACAGGTGCAAAAGGTGTATGGAGGTACAGGACTCGACAGACAGGTGCATAGATGTATTGGGGTAAAGGACTCTACAGACAGGTTCATGCACGTGTATGGAGGTACAGGACTCTACAGACAGGTACATACAGGTGTATTGAGGTACAGGACTCTACAGACAGGGACATAAGGTGTATTGGGGTACAGGACTCTACAGACAGGTGCATAAGGAGTATTGAGGTGCAGGACTCTACAGACAGGTGCACACAGGTGTATGGAGGTACAGGACTCTACAGACAGGTACATACAGGTGTATGGAGGTACAGGACTCTACAGACAGGTTCATGCACGTGTATGGAGGTACAGGACTCTACAGACAGGTGCATACAGGTGTATGGAGGTACAGGACTCTACAGACAGGTGCATAAGGTGTATTGAGGTACAGGACTCTACAGACAGGTACATACAGGTGTATTTAGGTACAGGACTCTACAGACAGGTACATACAGGTGTATGGAGGTACAGGACTCTACAGACAGGTACATACAGGTGTATGGAGGTACAGGACTCTACAGACAGGTAAATAAGGTGTATTGGGGTACAGGACTCTACAGACAGGTGCATACAGGTGTATCGAGGTACAGGACTCTACAGACAGGTACATACAGGTGTATTTAGGTACAGGACTCTACAGACAGGTGCATAAGGTGTATTGGGGTAAAGGACTCTACAGACAGGTTCATGCACGTGTATGGAGGTACAGGACTCTACAGACAGGTTCATGCAGGTGTATGGAGGTACAGGACTCTACAGACAGGTACATACAGTTGGACTGACTTACAGCCTGGGGCAGCTCAGGTGCTGCAGCTCCTACATGTATAGCATCAAATGGTGCATCTTCCTCGAAGCCAAGTCTGCCATCACCCAGAACAAATTTCAGCTGACCTCTATCCAGAAGTTGGCCCAGGCTCTTGTCCTTCCTGACGTTGGTGGTAGCCATCTGGATAAGCTCATCTATGTGGTCTATACCCACAGCCACACCCTTCTCCCCCACCTGCAGATACAGGACAACACAGCTGTATACGCCTGGCAAAACTGACTCACATGAGGATGTTCCTTTTCAACATCTGGCAAGTCGATGAATATTATATTCTACATTAAACAAGGAAATGGTAATGTTACCAACACAGCATGTGCCAATGTTGTCCCTGTGTAACCAGGCCTCCTAGCAAACAACACATCATGAGCCAACCAAACTTAGGTTAAAACTCTATAAGATGCTCCGGAAATGAGCACTGGGCAATATTACAGCTGTATCATCATGACCATTGCAGCCTGCAACATGCCGAGACCAGACAAACCTATGCTCGTGCTGAGTGAATGAGTGAGTGAGTGATATCATGGCTGTGTCACAGAAGCCCAAGGGGAATCCCCCAAGTGTATATATGGTGCTGAAACAGAGTTTCAGATGGCCATCGGTCACCATCATGTCTTTGCAGTGCATGTCTTTGCATCATACTTTCTGTAACATAGGGAAACACTGTCAGGAGCTTTAGTCATTGTTCCCGTTTACCGGTAATTACCAGGTTTTATAGGTAAAATTGGTAAATAAAGTACTTATAAATCTTTGTTGTTGAACAAAACATCGGTGATATTCATTTTTCGAACAAAGTCAGCTTGTCTGTTACCATCAGGGTTACCCCTTGTCTATTTCTAGGTTAAATATCCATTTGTAGCGACTTCGCCTTGAAATATTAAAAAACAAAGAGAAAATAGTGACTTAGTCAAGCGCTTTTCTTATCTCGACATTTATTGGCCAGATCGTCTATATTCATCCAATAGTGAACAGTATTGCAATGATTTGTTATGGTTTATCTGCCAGTTTTGTTGATTTGTGACGAAATGGCTTTAGCAATTTTGTGTTTTGTTTATTTCGCTTACTGACCTTTGCCATAGACTATCACTTATTACATTTCTTGGGTCAAAGTCATTGAATTATGTACAGCTTTTTGTGTCAAAGTCACTGTCTGGACACAGCAACAGTCTATCAAAATAAGAAGATCCCGCCACAGCTAAGAGTGACTCTTATGACCACCTTTGATCCCTTGGCTTTTACAAGAAGCATGTGGTAGGGATGACCTATCTACTCCGGAGTGCCCCCATCTGCCTACCATCAATGCCATGCATGCGGTGAGGTAGCCACTGCCTGATCCAACGTCCAGGGCACGCCCACCCTCCTTCAGGTTCTCCGACAGCAACTCCAGGGCATGTGCATGCTGGCAAGTACAGGGAAAAGTCACTTCACCAGCAGATCAATGTCACAGTTTTACTGGATTAATATCATGTCGACTTCTCAACAATCTATCAAACCTATGTGTGAAAATGAAAATAGTGCCACAGCATTGAAGCTCACATGGTAACATTTCACAGTCACACACTTGCAGTTAATTCAAGGTGTAAGCAACTCAAACAGGAAGATAAAAAGTGCAGGCTTTACATGGGATTGAAACACTGGAACTGTTGTGTCATGTCCGTAAGGGACAGCATGGTATCAATGTTAATTGTCGGTCCGGAGAAAGCACTACAGGTATTGGGCTCACAATACCTTTATTAATACTCCGGTGAACATTATATGTCAGGTGTGAGTATGCTCTGAAAACTGATTGCTCATGTTAATTGCAGGCATTCTACTTGTGTAACACAAAACATCAATTTCCATGTCTTCGATTGTAAATGTGAACTAGTAACATCACATATCAAATTTCACAATGAAACATGTAGAAATGGGTGATTTTTGGGGGTGTCACAATACAGGTACCTCACGATATGATATGTATCTCGATTTTTAGGTCAAGATACGATACGTATCTCGATACAGCAATACCGACCCTTTATGTGTAAATTTAGAAGCAAACTTTTTAATTACATATCACATTCACAATTATGTGTTCTAATCACTATCAGCAGATTAATTTGTAAAATAATAATACTTAGAAAAGGTTGATTCTGTTTATTCAAACAAGTGTCAGACACTAGCAAGTTTTCCTATGTGTCAAATTCAGAAAATATGATGACATTTCCATTGGGAAAGAAAAATCAATCAATACGCAAACAAATGGATACTGATTTCAATAAAATTTTGTATCCATATAAATTTACATGTATCCCGTATTGTATCATGAGAATTATCTACCGATGCATCGGTATAATCAGTGAATCGTGACATCCCTAGTGATTTTATTGTAAAAAATGACATTTCAACATGGTTACCATGGTGAAATGTATTGAGTAATTTAGTAGTCCATCAGACACACTTGTTGATACAAACAATGACTATGATGGACATGGCCATGACACGGGGTGAAATGGTATAGCAAGGTCACAATATATGTATCAAGATACATAGGTTACAATACAAAATGTATCGTGATACGCATATTTACGTCAAATCGCGTGGAAACTTCTTACAATAAATATTTCAGAGCAGGTTCAAAAAGAAAAGCTAGGCTGTAGACACATGTTCGTAGGAGCTATTTTTAGTAGTGAACTTGAAACGCTAATTACAAAACAATGTGCATATTTGACTGACAGAAAATGCTTAGGTCATTAAACTAGTAGTAAGTAATTAAAGTAAATTAAGTGTATCGTCTTGTATTGATAGAGAAAAAACATATCTTGTATCGTATCATCGCATGAAGACTCACGATGCACCATTGCACCGATGTATAATTTCACCCTTACCATGACAGAAGCTCAGCTCATAGACAGGAGAGCAATAAATTGATGGCATTGTAGCAGAGCTGATACATTAAATAGCTACTGATCACTAACAAAATACAATAACCTATTCAAAACACAACAAATATTCTGAGCATCTATTCCAGTGTAAAACAGATGAAACAATTTATCATATAATGGGTATGTTTCTCGGCAGGATACGGACAAAAATGGTACCTGTTGGGTACTACTTTCAGTGTTTACAAACATACATGGCCCTTGTTATCGCTATCGATATATAAATCGATATATAAATTGCAAAGCAATGTTAGTAAGGATGCTAGTGGGTTCAGTTCCTTTATCTATGCTTCTCTTCCTCAGCGGCTTGGTTTTTTTTCCCGAATTGAAAACAACTGGATTTGGCAAACACATGTCCATAATTTTACCTTGTTTTTTACTGTCGCTGTGTGGAACATCTGATGCATTTCATAACATTATGACAAGTGTTGAACAAGGCAGACAAAACAAACGTGACATCTCATAGACTAGAGTGGCTTCACTATGGCTAGTGGCTAACATTATTTGAAAACAATTGTCTTTATACCTGTATTGTAGTAATGCCACTAAAATATAGGTTTCTGTTGTAACTATACTGACTGTTGTGAAGGCTCGTTAAATACAATGTACAGGCTATTTACCATCCCAAAACTTGTGTGATAACCTTTATTGCCATGATTATCACTTACCATGTGGGGTGCACTAATTGTTACCGCATATCCTATACTCTGCGGCGAGTCATTGTATGGGTTGAACTTGCAGAAGTGTACTCGATCTACAGCCTTCATTACTTGAACAACTTGTGGAGATTTGATAATTCCATTCGCTGAAACAAAATAACAAAATTGCTTACTTTAGAGAGAAATATGTAAATGTCCTTTTTTCACGATGTGTGAAAATATTATCACACTAACAATACTAAAATACATGTCATTTTACATAGATATTATATTTCTTATAGATAAAAGTCATACAAATATGTTGTTTGACTATTTAAAAAAGGCTTTTAAGTATTAAGCAATACTGTCTCCTGTTGAATTTGGTGTGGTAGGTAGTATAAATTTAAGTGTGCCCAGTGCAATAACATTCACCGTCGTCTTTTTTAAATATTCAGAGTACAGACCAGCAGAAATCTTTGACACAAACGGCTTCACTAACAATCGAGGCATCAAATTCCACACAAGAGCAGCATTAGAAATTGGCACTAGTCCTATAGACCTTGCCAAACTGGCCAATAGTTAAGGTATCATAAGGACTAGTAGAAATATGCCATTTTTAAGTGTTTTGCTATGTGTTATCATTACAAGTAGAGATTGCTGCAGAGCATCAATAGCTCCCCGCAATATAATGTTATGTGCAGAGGAAATAAGTGTAAGCTATGGGAGGAGAGAATTTGTGTTCAGTACAAATTGGTTGTTATAAATATACTTATCTTTGGAAAGCACAATAAAAGAAACAGTGTCTTTAATTGGTCAGCACAAAGAAAACCCAGGCAAGAAAACTGGGCCAGTCAGGCAAAACTTGATATATACCCATTATTAGTACCAATAAAAAAATCCTATATAGATAACACAACAAATGTCATTCTAAAGCATGCTTTTGCAGCAAATATCAATATTTCTGGTCAAAATGTTGGTTGGGTAAATAAAGCAAACTTTTAAAATAGTAAACACAAAAAAATGTAATGAATCCACTCTAAATATACTTCAGTTCAAATGTAAAAATTCATGCAATCATTAATGGATTCCCATTTATCTAGCAACTAGTTAGGAACACACAGTTTGGTCACGTTATCTATAAATATTGAGAATTATCTTACATATTGTAAAAACAAAGGCCATAGTTCACTTTTCTCAAAAATTTGTTTAAGTAATCAGAAACTAAAAATTGTAGATATACAAAACAAACAAAAAACCATTTGAACAACGTCTTACATAATACAACCAAGAAAGAGAATCACAAATAATCCCCAATCATGATAAAAAATTTGGTACACTCTGTTAAAAGGTGCAGATTCTTAATAAGTTTACCAACAGTTATCCAGAAACAGCTTCCAAGATCTGTTAACATATCAACAATTACAAAAAAATTCCTTGTACATGTATGTACAACATTACCATAGTTTTGCTCAATTCTCATAATGTTTCCATATCATTATAATACACTTGTTTTAGAAATTAAATTGTTATAATGTACCTCTTTTGAATGTTGAATGTTCCTGTGTTTTTTAATTGTCGTTTATTGTGCATGTATTTTGTAGTTTGTGATTGTGTAATATTGCCACTGTTTCTTCATGGAATGTTCCGCAATACATATCTCATCTAAAACATCTTTGTTGTATAATAGTTTCTTACAGTTGTTTACGGGGGCATGGTTGGCCCAGTCGCCGAAGGCGCTGGAATTTGCTATGCAGAGTTGTGTCCCTTGGGCACGCCAGAAACCTATGACAGTGTGTTTGAATCTCGGTTCGCCCCGATTTTGTTGTCAGCACAAAACCTTTACTCGTTGGTTTCACCAAAGTGGTGAACGTCTAAGACCTGCATCACTTCAGACTTCCCTCCCACATCAAGCTGACATGGAATACTGTTCAAGACAGCGTTAAACCCAACTACCTCACTCACTCTTGTGTATGGTTCCGTTTGGTTAACTGGGTTTGTGTTGTGATTGCTTCCGGCTTAGATTTGAAATTTGTTTAGAAGAATTGTACTATGTTCAACCCAAACATCGTGAAGATATCATGCAACCGTATTATCTTTTGGGAAAATAATAGCAAACTACAGACCAACCTGTTGATTCCTATGTATCCAGAAGCAAAGAACATATACGGGTGTATGATCTCTGCTGGAAGTTAATTTTTTTTTGTCAAAGCAATAAACCATGCAGAAACGTAAACCGACGCATGAAACGGTATGTACCATACATTACATACAGTGAAGTATTTAAAACAATGCCGTCGACTATGCACAGCAAGCGCCATACTTGTGATTATGAAGACAACTAATAAAAAAATTCTCATATCAAACCCGTTGTTTTACATGTGTTGTTTATTGAAGAAAGTCATACTTTATAGAAGCCTGTTATTTAATCGTGTTGAAAAATATGTTGCAATAGCAGTGTGAAAATTGAGTGTGCGTGACAGGCTTGGCCAAAATTCCTTCCTGGAACGTTTCTCGATGGCTGCCTGAATAACATACGATACATTGCAAAGGTAGTGCGCAATTGAGCTGTTTGGGTAAGGGAGATAATCACTCACTCTCAGTGATACAGCTTGAATAAGATACGATGTACAGCAATGCAAGGTCAGTGCGTGAATTTATCACTTCTATACTACGCCTATAGCTAAAGGAGATAATCGCTCAATGCGCAATAGTTTATTCTTACAAAATATAGACCGGTTAACTTTAGCGAAATGGGATCATTTTTAGCTCTTTTAAAAACAAAATGAACAAATTTCATGGGTTATCAGCATTACGAAAAGTGACTAAGTCTCAGAATAGCAAGACGATTTGGAAGTATCTCTTATTGCTGGAAAAGATAAACATCAACATTTCACGCACATTTCACATGATTTGTATGTTTCGTTTCGGTAACTGTGTGGCTTGAAATTTCAAAGAAACCAACATGTCGACTTACATGCTACAAAATTAACCTCTCCCGTATACTTCCCCGCCTAAAGGGCGGGGAAGAATAAGGACTAGTAGACTAAATATGTTCGTTTCTACCGCTGAAGAGGATCTTGATATCACTCCAACCCCCAAAGCAGTTAAAAAACAACACAAACAAGATGGTGAAATCTTACAATTGGAATATATTTTAGCATAAATATCATAAAACTATGAAGTAAGCTGTGTTGAAGGGTTAGTTAGAAAAACTAAGAACATAATTTAAGATGGAACAACACCATGGCCCTTCTCAGCACTCAACTTTAGAAATTGGCACTAGTCCTGTAGTCCTTGCCAAACAGTTCAGGCATCATAAGGATGAGTAGAAATTTGCCATTTTTAAGGGTTTTGCTATATGTTATCATTATAAGGACTAGTAGCTTAAACATGTTAGTTTCTACCGCTGGCACTGCAATATAGACGTAAAAATTAGCATTGTGGGAAACTTCCATAATTCCCTGACATTTGTTACTTCCCAATCTTTCATCTACCACCTCTTGCACATGTAGCAGACCTGGGCATATATACACACAGCTCAAATATAGTGCATTACTATCGCTGGAATTAGGTATTCATTGATCTTGTAATACAAACAACAAATCTGTTCCATGAACTGGTATTACTTAATTACTTATAATTACATATAAATACATAAGTATACAGGTTTAGTTTTAATATAAATATATAATCATTCATGTGGATGAACTAAATAACAACACTATTAAATATTTTGGTTCATAAAACAGAACTTCCAACACTTTCAAAGCACTTTACCTTTGTGTATGCATACTGTGCATGTGGCCTTAGTATGTTTATCACAATAATAACAACCACACAACCGAAGTAAACATACCAAAGCGAGACCAATCATTTTGTTTTTCACACATCCAAACAATATGTTATTGCTCTAACATCTCAAAATCCGAAATAGAAGCTATTGCTATGTCTAAAATTTGAGATATTTACCCGATAGGCTAGAGTGGAATGTCGACCAGACCTTTCGGATGCAAAACAAAAGATATAACAGATCTCCTAATTTCGATGCATTTCGCTTACCATGCAAGTTGTCTACGAGATTGGAATTGCTGGTACCGCTCGATCTCCACGCCATTGTTGCCCTGGGCAGCACAGCAAAGACGAAAGACACTGAACTTAAAACGACAGCTCTCAGTCTGTCCCAAAACATCACATATCCCAGTGATTCCAGCTAATGGCCATCGCCATTACTCGGCGAAACTACAAAATAAGGGAAAAGAATTGCAGATTTAGTAATGATAATTTGAAAGCTTAGTTCATAATGTATTTCTTGCAGATGTTGTCAAATCGCCATTGGTACATTTGATGACGCTTGCGCGTTTTAAACTGACACGCGCACTCACAGACCAGCCCCCATTACTGACCTTGACCGCCGACAGTGACCTTCACCTTTGAGCGACAGGTGCTCATCATTCATGAAGGGACGATAAACGCATACCACTAGATAGCCGTTCATTGAAATAATAGAAGCAATGACGCACGCTCTTTCAGGTTGGAATTTCCGTGACCATTTATCAAGAGAATAATACACTTCGAGTAGAAAATATCTCCCGACATTTGTGGCAGTAAAAGTAAAAATACACTACCCGATGTGTGTATATAAAAGAGCACGCCTCTATAAATACCTAGAATAAAAATACTTCGCCTTCCTCCAAGGAATGTAGATCAGTCTTTCTAAGATTTCCTTCTCCCCTAAAAGAAAATTCTTTGTCGCGGAGATATATATTATCACGTACACTACACACACACACACACACACACACACACACACACACACTTAATACTTATCAAGATGTGTTTCAGCTTTAGTAGGGTGACTTGTAATTCATGTGCATAAAAAGAAATAACAAGCGATTGTTTTGTTTTGTTAATGATGTTCGCTGATTTACGTTCAGAATATTTCATGTTTTCAAAAATAGGCATTTGTATAATCTCAATGAATTAACCTAACAAGAAAAATGGAAAAGGAGCGGGTAGCTGTACATGTCCTAAGGGTGCGCCAATAGATGTGTGATTGGTAGTATTCATCTTTTCAAAATATGTAAACACATATGGATACAAAGTTTACCAATTAAGAAGACTTACTAAATCCCTTTCACTTTTGCCGTAAGACGATTTATCGTAAAATGTAGATGTCCGCCTTTAATGTTTCGTTGGTTGTTTGCCGGGGGCAGGGATTACGTACGACATTTCGTTATACTCTTTTAATTGGCCCTGATTTGCCGTGATTCCACATTTCACGTTACGAATTAGCTATGATACGTTATTTCTCAACAGTCCTGTTATCGCACATTCTTGTATTCGAAAATAAGTTACCCGTTTTCTTTGAAGTGTCTTTTTTCTCTCTTGTGAATTGTTATTATTCGTTATCGGGTTTTTAGTCGAAACCGGAAATACCCTGGAGTAAATCTGGTGAAATGTTACTACCGTTGGTTGACCGAAATGCTAACCCTGGAGATATAGAGGATGACGGCCCTTTTCTCTCTGTTGTGTAGTTAAACGTGGAATATCTTTTGTTCTTTTTCATTACCCGTAATGTCTCAGCAACGATACATTGCATTTTATACCATTTGTACGCGTGCATTTTTTCGGGTACCGGACAAAAAAGTGTGTTTAGCGATTTTTCACTTCCGCACGTGCATCTTCTTAACCAAGGGGTCGTGATTTGGACCTTGAGGTACCAGTGTTTCGGTGACTGTTTGAACGTTTTGATAACGTTTGTAAATTTATGGTCAAATCCAATTTTCAACTGTATACTTTCTTTTGCCCGACAGTTAATATAAAATATCAATGCCCTGCATATCTTATCTATTTTACGAGAGCTTCCTGACAGCCGACACACAGGGCGACACATAACCATAAATATAAGGGTTGGTTTGGTTTGTTGTTTAACGCCGCACTCAGCAATATTCCAGCTATATGACGGCGGTCTGTAAATAATCGAGTCTGGACCAGACAATCCAGTGATTAATATCATGAGCATCGATCCACGCAATTGGAATCGATGACATGCATCAACAAAGTCAGCGAGCCTGACCACCCGATCCCGTTAGTCGCCTTTTACGACAAGCATAGTCACCTTTTACGGCAAGGATGGGTTGCTGAAGACCTATTCTACCCCGGAATCTTCACGGGTCACAAATATAAGGGACAAAACCCTTTCCATAATCGTAAGAATCTCTGCAGAGTCACTGCACGATTCCCACTATGTCATACGCATGTGTTCATTAATTACTATTAAATATACCTACATATGATACCAGGTGTCCGCGAAAAGGTGGTACCCGTCCCAAACACACACAGAGGCAGGTCAGTTGTCCCCCTGAAACATGGGGAATCAGACATTATTTTTGTCACTGATGGTCAAATTTGGAAATGTACCCCACACGTCTACCATACAACGTTTTTAAAGCTTTAACTAAGTCCTTAAATGTGTTATCATCATGATGATCAAACAAAGTTTGAGCAAGCGTCGTATGTCGGTCTTTGAAATCTTCGTAGAAAGAGCATGCTCAATTGTACTTCAAAAGTTGTGAAATGAAGATACCAAAGGCTGGAGGTAGTGGAATATTGCTCGACTTACAGGGACAAATGACTATTGGAAAGTTAAAAACATCCCTTTAGCCATACATACAGTCTTGTGGATATTCGTTGTCACTCTTAATCTTTGTGCATAGATCTAAATGTGAAACAGATGAGGCTGTTTCAAGCGGTCTCTTATATTTCTAGATCAGGTAGTTAAATCATTGGAAGAGAGTGGATATTGGACCAATATTGAACGATGTCATGTATATACCTGAATTAATTTTAACTTCTTGGCCAAATCCACTTACAAATAGAACTGAAACGTGTAATTACTCGCCCGCAAATCTCGAGTCGCGGGTCACCCTTTCAGAGGTACATACGTCTGTTTACGTTCTTAGCGTTGTCTATTGCAAAGATATGTAGTGCAATCTCTACCGTGTTCACTGTTCTGAGGTACAAAGTGATTGAAATTAAATCTGCTAAATAAAGCAACACACGGTCTCTTCTGATGCAAGAAACTGGATCTGAATATATTGAGATTATTGAGTGAGTGATCGTGTCTCTTTCAGTCAACGACATCACAGCTGCATCACAGTGGCCACTGAACCACGGCAACCGTTTGTCGTTAGTGTGGGAAATAGACCAAGTCGCCAGGAATGTGAGTTGACATACAATCAAGTGACTCGTCACATTATTAGAACAGTGCGCATTCCATCAAGGCCCGCCAATCAAATAATAAAGAATCGGTGAATGCTCAGTCAGCAACTTTCCAGTATATCATATCGCTCAACTGCTGAGGATCGCGATGGGGGTCCCACTTTCAAGACATGATGTACCCATGACTTGACCCGCCATCAGTATTGTATATATTAGAAAACAAATCTTATGATAATATAACTGAGTCAACATGCAATTTAGAAATAGCACCATTACCATGGTGCCGCCCCGTGCTAAGTGGGCGTGGCCTAAAAGAATGCACGTGCATCACGTGAAAACACGGCTGATGACAGGGCGTCGTCTGCTGCCAATGAGCAGCCAAGATTGTCAGTCCAGGAGAAGTATTTGGAGGTATGTCAAGGGAAGGTATTACAGCTCCTTCTACTAATACGATTTGATTGTAATATGTTCAGTTTGTGCCTGTGTTTTGAGCAGAGGAACCCCTCGCTGTAGACGTTAATGGGGGACTGATCTAAAGCAATTCCCCGGGACTGGTTGTTGCCTTTGTTATTGTTTTTTCCCAGTGAGTACCCGGATGAAGAGCAGAAATCTAGACTAGTTCGCGACCCCTGCTGCGCCATTCGTAAGCGCATTAGTCATTTTTATGGGTAGTAATAAGGGCGTATGGTCACATTGATCAACAAAATGAAATACAGTTTTCAAGATAATAAGGAAATGTAGGTATCTTTGTGGGTAGCATCGGTAATGATGACGAAGTTTTGATATGTCACTTGCTTGGTAATTTTGCGACTCTCTTTTACACTATTTCGACTTGCAACACAAAGTAATTATGTCACCTGAGCATTGCTTTTTTTATAGTGTGTATATCTTTTTACTGTCAAAATGTGTAACATTTGCAAATTTATTAAACGCCTAAATATTCAGTTATTTTACAAAGTGACTGAAAAACATTTCCATCTGTATGATTATGATAAGGAATTCCAAACATTTTGATGTTTAATGTCATCACCAAGAGACTGCAAATGTTACGTTGAAATGTTGAAAAGTACATTTCTATGTTGTTTGGCTTCTCATCCTACATAATAATCTGTTGTGATGTTTTTAGGCCCGTTGGATCGTCTTAATCAATTTTAGTCAATCTGGACAGATTTTTCAGTCAAAATGCCTGAAATATTTACACATTTTATAAATTGCCGGAGAGAATCACATTTTACAAATTGACGGTAATATATACGCGCTTACAAAGGAAAAGACTTGTGAAAACAACGTCTATTGCGCATTGAAGAATTTCCCAAACAAGATGTAGAGGAACAAGAACTAATTGGTTCAATGCTACAGCAAATGAAGGAAAACAAAATGCAAATACCATAATTACAACCTACCAAATTTATGTGTATAAATTTTAGGCAGCTTCCTTGTTCGAGGAATGTATCCGTGAATATCCACACAAAGGAACAATATCCTACTCGTCTGCAGCTGTACAAAGAAACTTATTCGATGTCACGTGTCTCAGTAACAATCAAATATTTTAAAAGATATATATCGTTTCGGGATATTATAACCCGTGTTCGTTTCTCAACTGATCACTTAGATTGTTTCAGGTGTTTCACATAGGTGTCAAGTCTCAAGGGTCGGCTGAGAAAGCCCACGTCACAACTATTTTCATAACGTCCAAAGTTCCTAAAAAATCCATTGAGTGATAGATAACAATGATCAATCAATCAACGTATTATCAGTTAACCCTTTGAACAAAGTATGTTGTTTTTACATCGGCACTTCACGCCATGATATGATATGAGTATTCCCTTTGTTTTAGTAAACACTCACTTTTGACATATCCACTGTGCAAGATAACAGTGATTAATCAATCAACATATTTTCTGTTAATCCTTTGATGACTAGGAACGATCCGTTGATTTACAAAAAAAGTAAATCAACTGATCATTCACCTCTTGCTGGGCTGCCACGTGCATATTACATAACACACATTTCACCTCACTTCAAACCTGTATTTAGATTGAATAATTACCCCAGACACAATAAATGCCAAATGGGAACCTTTGTCAGGTAATCTTAGGGGTGCTACCACTAATTATACCTGTAATAAATTCATTAACTGAGCATCAAG